TACTAATCTTTGGATCTTCCTGAGACTCTGTCACCTTTGCTTTTTCTTTCTCATTCTTTGTAAAGTCATCTAAATCAAGAATTAGTTCTACTGTCTTTTCAGCAAAGAGATGATTTACATAGCTATGGTAATACCCTGGATTCGAAGTTGATGGTATTTCAGGGTATACAGGATATGAAATTATTGTGACGAAATATCCTGTGTGGGCTGAGTTTGTTGTGGATTAAAACTTGGAGGATACAAAGGGTCGGCCACTTCTTATGATGGGAAGCCTTGTTGGCTTGTATTTTTTTCTAGTCTTTTTTTCTTGTTCAGCTTATTGAGAGCATCTAGAATTTTGCTCAACTCATTCTCAATATTTTTCTGTGCTTTCTCTAACTTGTCAAATTTGTGAGAATTTTTTTGCTCCATTTGTCTGGCTCTGGCTCTTGTGTTATATCGATAGATAGGGTTCTTGCTAGATGGAGCTATCCTTGAACCTTGAATACCATATCTTAGAATTAACAAATTTATATGACTATCTCATGGTTATTTTGTTAAGTGTAATGAGTGAGAATGTAATGAATGAAAATGCAGGTATGCAAAGAACATTTGTCTTAAGACGATATTTAACTAAAAGATTTCATTTATTCCAAAGAACTTTTATTTACATTGAGTTTATCATCCTAGAGTTATAACCATAAAATTGTTTGATCTGCTCATATTGAGCCTTAGCTTCTTCGATGAAGTTCAATAGACGCTGTCTATGTTCTCTTACTGGGGCCACCATTTGTTTTAATGCCTCTGCATCTTCTACCATCTATCTTGCCTTACATATCCCTTTACAAATTTGAATTGCTAGGTGCTCAATGTACTTTTATCTTTCTAAGTTCTCTCTTTTACCACATCAGACTTGGTATGATAACTCTCTATGCTCTCTAACCAATGCAACAATATGTCTTCTTGTTCATTCAATTTTTGTCTCAACCTGATTAGGTAGCTATTCAACATGTTATTCTCTGTCTGTACTTGGGTACTTTCTTCTTCTAATTCAACATATTCTTATTTCAATCTTGCATTCTCTTCAGTCAGCTCAACAATGGTTATCTCTTTGGCCCTTTCTCTCACACATAACCTCTTATGTTCTTGGTGTAGCTCTGCTAAGTCTTCAATAGCTGTATCACGTTTTCTAGCAATCTTGCAAACTCTGGCTTCATATATTTCAGCTCTATCTTTCCACTGATCTTTTTCTTCTCGAAGCTTCTGGATTTTTTGCTTTAACTTATCCTTTTCATACTCAAACTCTTTGGTCGCAAGCTCTAATTCTGATGGTGTCTCTTCAAGCTTTCCTCCTGTTGGCGGTTGAAAGCTTTCATAAGTGAATATCATTTTTTATCTTCGTTTTGCTCTCCAAGGCAAATATCCTAGAGTGACTTTATCAGTAAACGATTCAAAATTCACTCTTTGAGGGGTTTTTCCATGCTTTAATCATCTCATTCATCCTCTGAAATACTTTTGGCTCGTTGTAAGAACTGATGAAGCCCATGCGTCATAGGAATGAACTTTTCTGCCCTGAACTACCTTCTCACTAGGAGTGGTGCATAATTTATCGCTCCCCATAAATCCAAAAGTGAGACCACTGTATTATCTCCACACTGATACAACATAGGTTCACGATTCATCCACAGGATCAACATCTTACTTCGACATTGGTCAATTTTTGTAGGAAAGCTATCCATTCTTTTTTAGACTTTTGTTCTGACTATCCACTTTCGTAAAATTCCTTGATCGAAGCTTGATTACGGACATAAAGCTTCGAGAAAGCATCTTTTCTCCATTCGAAGTAGCTTTTCATCCATAAGTATAATAACTGTATGTAGCCTATAAAACGCCCTCCATTCTGATGACAGTAACTCAAAGATCTGGTAGTCTCTACTAATATTACCATTGAAGGGTTACAATCATTGATCACACTCTCGAAGAAGTCAACCACCGCTATCTCAATATAACCCAAAACCTTTGAAAATATCACCATTCTATATATAGCTAAAGCAAATACATCTAACCCCTATTTTTCGTTGGCATGTTGCACTAAAAACTCATGAAAAAACTTTCACGGTAGGGAAATCTGTTCTTGTTTTTTCTTTGTATGAGAATCCATAGCTTCTTTATCTATCCCCATGAGTTGAGCCAAACCCTTACGAAATCTTGACTTGTGTTTTTTAACATATATCTTATTAGGAGTCCTGAGATGCAAACCCAATAAAGTCAAATATTCTTCGATGGTTGGTGTCATATCAACTTCATTGAAGATGAAACACTTGTATGCAGGATCTCATAATTATGCCGCAGCTCTGATTAGTTGATCATCGATAATTACTATGAGAAAGTGTGCTATATGCCCATGTCTTTGGCAAAACTTCTCTTGTTTAGCTGGGCCCATCTTCTTTCATATATCAACCAATTCTTTTAGATTATTTTGTTTGAAGGGGATAGATGTTTCTTGAGACAGGGTAGAATCGTAGTGGAGTGGTAAATAATCCCCCATCTTCAGTTGAATCTTTTCTGACTGGACCCTTACTTCGTTGGGTGACTCGCAAGGAGCTAATACAGATGAAAAATAAACTAGTCGTTTTGTGGAGTCCATAAAAATTTTTTGTTAAAGACCGTCTTTCAAGCAAATGTTTTTTATGCAACTTTATGATATGAGCATGAACCAATACAAAAGAATGAGAGAAAATGTTAGTATGCCCAAAATAAAAGAATAAATAAATAACTAAGTAAATTAAAACATCACACAGAATAAGAGGAATGAACCATATGCTTTTGGTCAATTCTAAAAGGGAAAGATGATGGCTCTATCTATAGGTTAAGCACTCTTAAGGTCCACTATATGTGATTTGAGGTTAAAGTCTAAAGGTTTTCAAATTGCTTCTTACATCATGGTCTATCACAGACTAGTAAGGCACCCTAATCCTCACCCATTATAGGCTACAAGTGAAAAATATTCAATTTGAATGGGAGTATTTCGCTAGTCACTGCGGAGGCATTAAACCTCACGAAAGCAATAGGTACTTTACTCTCTCTTAGAGGAATGGAGCTCGGGTATAGAGCTCATGTTATGCATATGCATATGAATGACATAATTAATAAAGCAAATAAACATGAATGAAAAAAATATATACAAAAAGGTTCAATTTTATTAGGCTTTTGGATAACACAAATTTATTTGCTGATCTGACTCTTAGATGTCTCTAACGGAGTCACTAAACTGTCATAACATCTAGATCCGGGGATCCATCGCTAGACATTGACTTGAAGGAGTCGCCACCAATCTTTTTTATCTAGGTGCGATTGGTCACTTAAGGAACTTATCCTTTTAAGGAACACCTAAGCCTAAGAGTCTCTAAAAGAATAGGTTCAGGTCTACCAACCAGAACAGGGTTGAGAGTACGATTACGTGTGAGGAAGGTTGTAGCACCCTCACAACGCCCATCGAAAGATGGTACCAGCTTAATTTTGTGTTATCCAATAAGCCTTAAAATTTTATCAAGTAATTAATTATTGAAAATTATTCTCAATTGACTCTAATACTTTTAGCAAAAAATTAAAAAAATTCTCTCACCTCAAGAGTATGCAAGGAAACTATTGTTTCACTTGTAGAGGCTCTATCGTCGGATTATTTAACATTAAAAAAATTCAAGAAAATAAAAAAAAGAAATAAAATAAAAAAATGATTCAGCTTTAGAAATAAATCATTTTCTCTTTAAAAACTCACTGCTTTTGTACAAAAAAAATTGATACTTTCAACTTTTTTTCAAAATATTTTTTTTTGAAACTTTAATTTCGAGAAAAATTGATATTTTCAATTTTTTCTCAAAAATATTTTTTAGAAAACTTATTTTCAAGGAAAGTTGATTCTTTCAAATTTTTCTCAAAAATATTTTTTGAAATTTTATTTAAAGAAAATCATTTAATAAAATAAAATAAAATAAAAATAAAAATTAAAAATAAAATAAGGAATACTAAATAATTCTAATCTAATCAATAAATAATAATAATAAATATATATATAAACAAAAAAAAACCTTTTGAACAACTCGGCTCAAGATAGAAAGGGCGGCTCGAAGACGCGACTCAGCTCAACTGGGCTCCAGGGGTCGGCTAGCGCTCGGGTCACATGCGGGTTAAACGCAGGTTGGAGCTTGAATCGAGTCGTCCAATTTCAAAACGCGCAGATCTTTTAGGAATAGTAACGCCAAAATGACGTCATTTTCAGCAAGTATAAAAAGCTCTAATCTCTATTTTTTAGCAGACTACTTCTTTCCCTCTCTCTTCTCCTCTTTTTCTCTCCTTCTCTCTCTAAACAATCCCAGATTCAGGTTGAATTTCTATCAGAATCTGAAAAAAGTCACCGAAATCTTTAAATCTGGTCGAAAAGCTCGTCTAAAAATTCAAAGTTTGTCGAAAAATTTTGTTGGATTCTGAAAAATTTTCAAAAATTTTTCAGAAAAAAATGCCAAAAATTCGAAGAAAAAAAATTCCACAAATTCCTAAAGCTATTCTAACGCACCAGAATCCTTTTTTAGCTTCTGTTTCCTCTCCGTGTGTTTTTTTGTCTCTTTCTCATATGCTTCAATACCTATTTATAAGGATTGATCAAAAGAGTTTCTGATTAATCTCAATTCTCTCTGAGATTTGAATTCAATCTTTGAATCTAATTTTAACTCTACTAGCTTCTAAATTCACGTCAGAATTTCAATTTTTTTTATCCTAATCTCAATCGAGAATCAATCAAGAAAAAAAGATAAAATAAAAAATATATATTAATAGATAAATAATAATATATGAATAGATAAATAATAATAATAATATATATTAACAGATAAATAATAAAATATATTAATAGATAAATAATAATAAAATAATTATATATTAATAAATAATAATAATTAAAAATTAAAAATAAAAATAACAATACAAATGAATTTATCCATTTGAATCAAGTCCTATTGATTTGAACCTTGATCAAATTAGATGTCTGCATTCACAAAAGATGGAATTTCTCTCAGCAAAAGATAAGAGCTTTGTTTTATCGAGGCGCTATATTTTTTTGTGGATCTGATTCCTTTCCTTTGAATAGTTTCCCTTCAAAGTGGAAAACAGAATAAGCTTCTTTCTGCGCTGTTTGAAAGCTACATTTTCTTCATAATATTTAACTCGGAAACACCTTTTTTGTGCTCATAAATTCAAATCATATCTACTAGCTACTTTGAGCAGTTCTAAACCAACTTCTTACGCCCGTTCTCGCACCTGAATTTGCCAACTCTTTGCTCCTTGCTTGAGAAATGGTAACCATTATTTAATTTGGTTTTAGTATTTGTTTTCAATTTATTGATTTTCTGGTTAGTTAATTCTCCTGGTGAATGATGTTGCCAGAGTCTTGAGGACGATAAGAAACCAGTATCAGTTGGGCCATGGGGAGGCCAAGGCGGGTCCTCTTGGGATGATGGAATATACTCCAGGGTAAGGCAATTGCTGATAGTTCATGGAGCTTGCATTGATTCTATCCAGATTGAATATGATAACAAAGGGAAGTCTATTTGGTCAAGGAAGCATGGGGGGGATGGAGGCTCAAAGACAGATAAGGTTAGTTTCACTTATATGTGTTACCATATGTGGTTCTCAAAGTAATTCCATACAAAAACTGATATTCTGTAATCATCTGAAGTTTAGGCTGATTGCTTTATGCTATTTGCTATGTTCTTTTAGCTTTTCCTTCGGATTTCTGGACAATCTTGAAATGCATAGAATTCATTAAAGTCTGTTTTGAAGTTCAGTATTGAGTGGTAGAACTTCTCTTAGATTGTTATATATATATTTGACAGCCTAATTCACTTAGCTGATATTGATTGTGTAATTTAAATTCTTTTAGGTCAAACTTGATTATCCAGATGAGTTTCTTACTTCAGTCCACGGATACTATGGGAGCCTAAATGAACGGGGACCAATTCTTGTTCGATCGCTCACTTTCCATAGCAACAGGAAAACATATGGACCCTATGGTATTGAACAAGGAACTAGTTTCTCAATGACCAGGGGCGAGATTGTTGGATTTCATGGCAAGTGTGGTTGGTATTTGGATGCAATTGGAGTTTATTCAAAGCCTACCTTAAAACTAAACCCCTCAAAGACAATTATTCATGCCCAAAGTTTTGTTCCTAATGGGCCTGAGAGAGGTGGCTTTTCAGTGATCCAGGGAAGTGTTGGAGAAAGCTACGATATAGTTCTGGCTGTAAGACAGCGGGATGCATTTGGGAATCCCCTGCCAAGGGAGCTCTCAAGGCAAACCTCTAGTAGCTCTCACGATTCAAGTGATGTAGAAGCCAAAAGCAAGGTATAAGAAATAAATCTCCTCTTGTTTTCCCTTTTGTATTTGTGATCTAAGTTCTCGTTTGCCGCATGTTTAAGGTTTCATTTCAGACTCCTGAGAAAGTACCTTCAAAAGTACCGGAGGGAGTGATAACTTATGGACCCTGGGGTGGCAATGGTGGAGCCAAGTTTGATGATGGAACCTATACCGGTATAAGGCAAATTACTTTATCACGCAATGTTGGAATTGTATCAATAAAGGTTTGCTATGATCGCGATGGACAAGCAGTATGGGGAAGCAAACATGGAGGGACTGGAGGATTCAAAACTGACAGGGTGAGCCTAGCTTTCTTTATAGAATTCATATTAATGTTGCTTGTTTTTTAGCTAGTCTAGAAGCCATTTCATTTACTGTGTTTTATGGACTCTCTTGCATTTTCTGCAGATAATGTTTGATTACCCATCAGAAATTTTGACACACATCACAGGGACATTCGGGCCTTTAATGTACATGGGGCCTAATGTGATTAAATCACTTACATTCTGCACCAACAAAGGAAAACATGGGCCATATGGAGATGAGCAAGGACCCTCTTTCACGAACAAAATGAATGAAGGCAAGATTGTTGGTTTCCATGGCAAAGAGGGTTTATTCCTGGATGCTGTTGGTGTGCACGTAATGGAAGGGAAAGTACCACCTCCGAAACCATCTTTTTCCCAGGCAATCATCCAAAGTGAAAGGCCTATAGCTGAGATAGATAATTCTCCATGGTCTAACAAACTAGTACTAGCAAGGCAAGGACTGGTTGAAGAGGTAATTCATTTGTTTCATTCTAAATATGTCTTGTTATACTCGAAAATGAAATGTGTAACATATAATTTGGATTAATATTTCTCAGGTTGCTTGTGGTGTGATAAAAGAACCAGCACCATGCGGTCCTGGTCCTTGGGGTGGGGATGGAGGGAGAGCATGGGACGATGGAGTATATTCTGGGATTAAGCAAATATTTATCACCAAATCTGAAGTTATTTGCTCAATTCAGATCGAGTATGATCGGAATGGACAATCTGTTTGGTCTGTAAAACATGGAGGTCATGGAGGAACTGCCACACATCGGGTAATTAACGTCTTAATAACCAACTCCAAACTTAACTTGGGCTATTTTTTACTGACCATAATCTTGATTATGCAGGTAAAATTGGATTACCCGCACGAGGTACTCATTTGCGTATCCGGCTATTATGGCTCCATAAATAATGATGAGAAGTCCAACGTTATAAGGTCATTAACATTTTATAGCAGCAGAGGAAAGTATGGACCATTTGGTGAGGAGACAGGCACGTATTTCACATCAACCACAACAGAGGGTAAGGTAGTCGGATTCCATGGGAGGAGCAGCTCTTACTTGGATGCTATTGGAGTTCATATGCAGCACTGGCTAGGAAATCAAAGAACCTCAAGGTTGTCCCGCTTCAAAATTTTTAGTTGAATGTTGGTGTTTTTTTGGTATGATAATTCAGATAAAATTGATAGCAATAATGAATTGTAATCTCTATTCTAAGTGGATCAGATACATGAAGTGGTGGCCCCAAAAAAAAAAAGATAAACGAGGTGATGTGCTAAATGTTTCTGAATTAACCGCATCCTAAAAGCGGTAAATATAGACGTCGGCCTTGGATTTAACTAGTACTACTTCAAATCGAGTAAAAATTGAGTTTGGATTATTTTAAATTTAGATTATTTCTTATTCAAATTATTTTAAATTACAATTTTTAAATTTAACTCTCAAATTATGTGAGTTTAAATCATCTATTTGAATCATTCAAATTCAAATTATTTAGTTTTAAATTAAATCAATAAAATTTTAATTATTTCGAACCGATTTACGAATCGATCAAATTTGCATCATTTAGATTCAGATAATTTAGGTTTTGGATGGACAAATTTGAACGGTTGAAATTTTTTTAATCAAATTAAATTCGATCAAGTTTTTCGAATTCGATTGCAACAGTTTAACAGGCCATAAATCAGATTTAACGAATGCATAGAAAGAAACCCGGTGGAATTGCCTACAGCAAAACTATATATGGGCTTGTTGGGCTAAAAATCTAACTCGAGCGGCCCCATTCTTGACTTCTTTAAAAGCCTGCTAAGATAAGATATTTGTACAAGAAGCAACGAGACTGCCTAACATGGACCTGAAAACATACAAATCCAAAAATGGCAACCAAAACCAAATATAGCAAATATATATACACAAGAATCTGTTCGTTACGTACAAGTGATCAAATCCTTTTATGTGCATCGAATGAGCATGTATTTTAGAGAGCTTTCTTCTTCGTAGGGTATCCCAATTATTTGTGCAACCATGCATCCTATCCTGAGTCTGTATGTATATATATAATTGCTGGCCATATATGTATAGAGAATATTTTCTCTAGCTAATGCCCCAAAAAAGAAGAAAAAAAACAGAGACAGACAGCTAATCTTCCCGCAATCTTCGCTTTGTTACATCACTATATTAATTACATAGAAAAAAAAAATACTAGTCTTTAGTCATCCATAATAACAAGTCATGCAAGGAAATGTATGTGTTATACAGTTTAAAGAACAAAATTTTTGAATTTCGAGCTTAGCATAATTATTGGTTCATATAATAATTTTTAAAAGGTAGATATCCAATAAGATTGAAGTCCAAATTCAAGTATTTATAACTTTTTTTTATTTTTAAGTTGTGATCTCTTATGAACAAATTCAATATGAAATGATTAATTAGATTATTATGATTTGAGAAGATTAATTTAGTTTGTCTATGTTTGTAGGGGTATATCATATGCAAATTATGTTATTTGTCCATATAAAGCCGAGACATCTTTACATTAACCTTTCAAATCAATAATTAATGAATAATTGAGATTTGATATGAATTATCCAAGAATATTGTTAGCAAACACAATCGTTAATACCAACTGGGTTTAAAGGTGGAACCCATGCAAGATGATGGGGGAGCCACCAACACTATATATATATATATGGAGAAAAGCTATGTTTAGTGTCTAGACCCTTTTTTTTTTTCGTTTATTTTCTTGTTTGAGGGCAAACCAAAAGATGAATGAGAAATGTTGAAAACAATAGAAAATTGGCGACAAAATCCAGAAATCTGGCTTGTAATTAAGTAAAGAAATGAAGTCAGGTTGATGTATAGGGTGGTCTGCTGAGGATTAATGCAAGTTGGCAAAAGCACATTTAACAAGAACGAAATGGACAGAAGGAAACTCACTAGAAACACAATTGACATTGGGTAGACCTAAGAGAATAATAGAGTGGGCTGTGGGTGCCAGATTCCATGGTGTTTCTAAGGAATACCAGGAGATCAAATTCAAAAAACCCCCCCGTGAAAACAATTAAAGGGCCCATATTCTCTGGATAATGACGTGGCAACCATATCATCCCCTTAATAATGGACCAAGATCTTGTGTTAGATTTTATTCCTGTGGCCTACCCAATTTTTCGTGCAGGGAAGTTAGCACACCACATTCAGATTTCACATATTGAGTTAGGGTTTTTTTCGTCTCTCTACAAAGACATGTAATGGACATGTCCTATAAGGAGAATATGTTCAACTTGCTTGGCTATGCCTTCACACTATGATTGGCAAACTTTCATGGTAGTCATGGCAGTATGTGTGAAAAATTAGGTACTCATATCATATCATAGTCATGCATCAAACAGGATCTAATAGCTACTTGTTAAATTGGCAACGAATGCCTTCGATATGGTGAGTTATTCAAACAAGCATTCCCCTGCTATTTCAACACTATGGTCAAGTACAATGTATATTTTCATTCCTCTTGGACATGCATCTTCTCAATCCCCTCTTGTTGGTTTTCCAAAGATGGAAAGCTCTTGTCAGTGTCACCTCATAATTTTCCTTGCCAACAAAGAAGCTTGCTAGCTATACACATTCATTCACCTTCCACCTTAGTGAAATGAGATTTTAAAAGCAAACGATCATGTTAAATTTGAATATATATATATATATATATAAGCACATTTCCAACTGAATATATATCCATCATCCTTATCACTTCCACCAGAAATTTTACTAAATATAGTCATGTGGGTTGTTGTTGCAACGCGCATGCTAAGGAAGCATATATGGTGGATTAAATTGTGGCCCCTCTAAGGTGTTTTCATATGCTAAGCTTTGCCCATTCGTGGCCTATGTTACAACTTCAATCTTACATGAAAGGTTTGACAAGGTATAAGGTTTGCTTGTGCTGTCTAATTGATCTATTCCGTATGGATATTGCTATCGACCAGCTGCTATCATTTTGTCAATACACATGGTGTTGAAATGCTGCACCTGTAGGGTATATGGCGTTTGATTGTATTTACTGCTTATTATAAGACGAGCAAATAAAATCATGTGGTTGGATTTGACATGATTTTATGTAGTACTGTAGCTTTGTTAAAAAATTTTCCAACTCTATGATATATAGATTAAGAATATCAGCCTTGCTTGGGTTACATCATTCTTTTGCGGCAATCTTTTGCTGAAAATGAGAGTAAACCTCAAATGGAAATGAGGAAAAAGAAGAAAAAAACAAATATGATCAGCTGGCTTCAATCCTCCAGCTCATTCATTGGAAAAACAAATGATTCTTTGGTGGGAAAAACCAGCTCACTTAGTTTTCTTTTTTTTTTGGATCATTTGTAGCTGATAATTTCAAGTGTTCCTAAATCCTAAGTTGAAATTTGAAGTTTTCACTTGGAGTATTTGATATTTTCTTCAACATTATTTAAACCAAACTTCAGCATAAAGAAGAATAGTAGCATATGCATGATGCTTAATATTATATAGATTTATAGAAATGATGATGAAAAAAATTTGGGTTTGAGCTGTAAATAGAAGAAAAGCAAGATTTCTCACTTCTCATAATATTCCATGCACTTTGCTCTACTCTCCTTTTTGTAAAGGCTACTGAATCCCTAATCCCTTATATGATAGTATAATCAATATGTGGAGAAGGTTGTGACTAATTTGAGGCTAAGCCTACCTTTTAAGTCTTAAACCGGAGGAAAAGATAAGAATCTAATCTAAGGAATAATTGGTGGCAGGTATCGAAAAAGAGAATGATTCTCTCCCATCTCACATTACAATTAAACAACAAAGAAAAGTGGATTTGTTTGCTTCTTAATTTCCACAGCTTTGTCTGCAAAGTGACAGTTGTGTAGGTCCAATAGTGATCATCGCCCACTGCCATTGCACTTTCAAAGTGAGATTATACAAGTTTTGTGTGTGTGATTTGAGATGGAAAGATGTGGGTTTTAACTTAACGACAACAAGATCATGGATGATGTTATCTTACTAAAAGGCAAGCAACTAGAGAAATACAAAGTTATATATTTTTTTTGGTGCGTTTAAAGTAACTTTTTAATGTGAAAAAAGATGATCGTGATTAAAGGGAAAGCGCCATGAAAATTCATGGAAAGGCTCTCGAGTATAAACAAGAAAAATAAAACAACCAGAAGCCAAAATTCCAGGTGGATTTGTAAGAGAAGTGGATGAACCTTTTGGATTAAACCCAAGTTCGTTCCAGATGTATATTTAGTATATAATTAGTAAGAGAGGAAAAAAAAGAAAGTTGAAAAGAAAGATAATGGAAAATGCCCTAACCTCGCCTTAATCATTGTTCGGTGGTATCACCTTGGAATTAAGCATTTGACAGCAACAAGCACCAGCTCTCGTGCTTTGTGGAATTCATAGCTGTGCACTTACATGCGCTTATAGCAACTTCCATTCCTCTTTTATATGTTGAATTGGATTAGATTGTAAATTTTTTCTCAGCCAAAGATATAGCTTTCATTCATGATTCGTGAAGGAATGTTGTTGCAAAGCTGAAACAATCCCTCAACGATGCAGGGTCCAAAGGCAGCTTTCTAATTAGGAAAGATCGAGCTGTTGAAACCAATAATACAAAATAACAAAAGGACAACATCTAAAGCCAAGCATAAAACATTTCGTTTCTGTTAACACCTAATTTAGCCAAGGAATTTGCTTTTCTAAAGATATGAACAAACTCATCCCTCCTAATCTCGTACCTAAGTCTTGTCAACTTCATTGAAAATCTGACAATCCTTCCATGGCCGAGAATCACAATTATAAACCCAGGATATTGCCACTTTTGAGTCGGGGCTGTACCCAAGTTGATTTACAGAACATCAATAGAGCTTCCTTTGTAGCAAAAATCTCAGTATAATTCGAACTTTTAATACCAAGAGGGCCAAAGAAAATTCCAAGGATAGCACCTGTATCATCTGCTAAGACACAATCGTAACTAGCTTTATCAGAAAACCCAATTGCTCATGAGCCATCAACATTGAACTTAAGCGGGTATGTCTAGCAGACCCCTATTGTCATATTGACGGAAGCATCACCAATAACAGACTGTAATTAACTTTGCAAACGATTGACTTAAGTTCACATTTTGCCCTTAAATTATTTGTTATCAACATACGATTTTATTTTGAGTCCTATTTCTGTTTTCTTTCAACAAATAAAATTTCATTTATTCAAAAAAAGAATGATTGTTTAAGTTCTTATCAAACCAACATATATAGATGAAAGTTTATAAATTAATTACACACAGACAATATTTACAATTTCTAATTATTTAATTGTATACAATAATAAATTCAATAAAAATTAAAATAAGCCAATATTATTATTGAATTATTTTATCAAATTAAAATTAAAATAAGAGGATCAGAAATCTAGCAATAAGGAAAAGAAAAAAAAAAAAAAAGAGCCACCAAATTGATAGCTACTAAAAGCCATAGCCTATATATAGATTATACCTAATAGATTCTTTTTTATGCAAAATTATGCTCACGCTTTTGTCACCCAAATGGGGCTTTATTCATTACCATCAATAATAGAACATTTATTTTAAATGGCTACAAACAAAAAAATGAAAAGTTAATATAAATGGTATAAATAATAAAAATAAATCATACAAATGCACATGGCAGCTGCTAGCAACAAAATACAGTTAATGGGGATGCTGCAAACCAGCAGCCAAAATCCCCCAAAATACTCCTTCCAGTTCATCAGTGGGCCATTTCATGTACCCAAAAACTGCAGCAATTCCAAATGATTTTGGTATGTTGATTGAACAGTCAATTTGGTCATGGTCAAGACTGATATACCAAAATAATTGCAATTAAAATTTACCACTTGTTTAAAATATATAAGCATAACATTCTCAAACCACCCAGCAGCTTGTACTTATTAAACTGACACACATAAATAAATGGTGTTGCTTTGGATTTTCTGAGCACATCCATGTAGAAATGATTACCATATAATATTGCTAATATATGTAATGTATTCTTTGTTATAAGAGGAGAGCCCTTATTCTTATATGAAACCAATAAAATCTAAGGCAAAATTTGTTGTAATTGGGTAGTATTGCAGTTGCATTGGTGTTGTCTTTCAAACCCTAGATAAATAATTATTATGATTATAAAATCACATCATTAATATTTAATTCAAGCCAAATCTAGATTAAACCAATAATCTCGAACAGAACATATCCCTAATCACACAATGAATGTTTATTTATATTAATAAAGAAAAAGAAACAAGTGTATATTGCGGTTCAACCTATGGCCTCTCCATGTCTTTTACGTCTCTACCTGCTATATATAAATCAAAATTTTATTTTCTTTCACTTATTCTTTCCTCTAATTTCTATATTATTTTGTCATGTATTTCATCATGTTAATGAAGTTGAGATAATAAACTTGAAAGACCTTAGTGAAATAATGCCTATTGAGGCTTAAGCCATTGGAATTTAAAGTGGGTAACAAAAAGTAATTAATACTATTGAACCACCGGAATTTGCAATGTCAGGTAATGTATTTTCTAGTTTCCAATAAACAAAACCTTAAATTGAAAAAAAGGAAAAAAATTAATGTTACAAATATTCGTAAAATTATAATAAAATTTTTAATATGATATAAATTTTAAAAATTTTTAATATAAAAATTGAGTTATAAATATATTAATTAATATTTAAAAAATTATTTATTCATTATATCTCATCGTTTAAAATTAATCATATTAAAAATAATCAAATAAATATTATATTAATTATAAACTTATAATTTAAATATCACATTAAAAAACTTTTAAAATTAAATACCACACTGTACATTCATAATATTTTAAAAAACATAAAACCAAATCTGCATTTCAGAGCATTGACTAGGTTCATTTACACATGGCAAGATCTTAATAGCGGATTGGCCTCTTCATTCAAATGCAAGGACTGAGACTAGAGAGGAGACAGATCCATTTTCGAGATAGCTTTTTCTTAAACACATTTTATATATAACTTAATTAACTATTAAGTTAATTATGTTTGACAATTTGTATTTTCATATTATATCTTATATCGTATTTAAAATATGAATATGATATGAATTATTAAAATATAAATATGACATGAAATATAAAACATGTTTAAATTTTAAATACGAACACGACATATTTAATATACGTATTACACGTGACACAATATAATTAACACATTTATAATTAATTTATTTAAATATGATATGAATAATACAAATATACATAATTAACGTGAATATACACCAATAGACACGATTAACATGAATATACACAAATAGATACGACAAACATAAATATATATAAAAACATAACTAAAATAGTAAATAATTATAAACTATTTATCATTTACAACTTAATAAATTTGTCATATTAATAATATAAAAAAATAAAAAAGAATTAAGAGTTATTTAATATGTATTTAACATATATTTTTTAATTTTAATTTATATTATATAATTATATTAATTTTTAATATCAAATTTAATTTAAAATAATAAACTATTAAAGATTAAAGAATAAAATAATAATATATAGAACTAATATTAATATTTATATTATATTTATATTATTAATATAAAAAATAATTTTATAATAATTATTAAATGAGTATCATAATTAAATGTTTTAAAATAATTTTTATATGCAATTAAGTAGCTAATTAAGTATCATAATTAAAATATTAAAAATTAAAATAATATTTATATGTTTATATTAAATTAAAATAAATATAAAAAATGTGTTAAACATATTAAACGTGTATTCGTATAATAAGATTAAATCAAACGTGTTATTCGTACTATATCATGCGTTTAAATGAGTCAAAACATACTACATAAATTATGTCATGTTGAAATTCATATTGACATAAATAAATACGAAATATATTTTTTAAAATACATATAATTTTTTCATATTATTTTTATATCGTACTATCGTATTGTATCTGAAATTGTCAAAACTAAAGTTAATGATCTTTTTCTTCAGTTTTGGACTTGAATTTCAATATTTTTTAATATTTAAGATCATAAAAATGAAATCATAATTATTAAAATTAAAATTTTAATATTATATCAATAAATTACACAACGGACACTGCTAATGAACATCAATAATATTTTAATGATAGAATTGAGAATATAATAAAAGGAAATGAATGGATCACATATTTGAGATTGGGAAATTGACAGATGAAGGTGTGGAATGCCACAAAGCCAAATATTTGAAATAGCAGGGTTTGTGACATCCATAACTATCAGCTCGTTACAATGAAATATCAACAAATTGTGACTTGTCATCAATTGTTAGGTCTAATCTTAATATCATTGCTGGATGACTTTTGTGGTGCGGGTGATGAACTTCTGCATGCCTCATCTCAAACATAAAATAATAGCAAGTTTGGGGGAATTTGTACAATACATTTTGTACCAAAAAAAAGCTAAAAGAGCAGCAGCTACTGAACCATAATGAGATAATAAAATTACGCAAAATAGCTGTACGTGTTGAGACAGTTCAATCTTAATTGATTACTGAAACGATTTCGAAATGTTGGCCAAGTTCTTTGAATATGGTTTCTTGTCAAAATAGGATTAATGTATCAATGGAAACCCGAAGCCGGTTTCTTTTTTGTATTTTTTTCCCTTTTCCCTCAAAGGTTACAATTTAATTAACAAATAATTATACAATATGTCGATAGAATATTGAATTTTTAATTTTAATAATTAAAATTTAATTTTTAACCGTCTTAAATTATAAATAAATAAAATTGTTGGTTTTTCTATTAGGATAGTATAGTTTTCTGTATAAACAAGAGGATGGGAGAGCAACATAGATATATGTGGACTAGCTATATAGTCTCCTCTTTTAAGGAAAAAGAATAGAAACGAAAGTTGAATTGAGACTGCTGCCCACTCGATAAAAAGGACTCGACAGCAACTCTTTGTCCTTAAGAAAATATATGGAATCCTCTTTAATCCTTATAAAGAACGATAAAATCTTTCATAAAGATTTTAATTGAACCTTCACTTTACTTTTTTGTTCAAATTTCATGTGACTATCTTCAATCTAGGGTAATAATCCTAGTAGTAATTACCCTTATAAAAAAGGGAAAAAATCAATTGGTAACATTCATTCAGAAAAATATTTATTAATAGCAGGACAATGCTACATCCACAATAATTATACACATATGCATTATTATTTCATTTAAATTTTATTTATTTTCAATTTAATCTTTATGTTCTCAAATTTTTATGTATGTGTGTGAAATTTGTGTACGTCATTATGTGCATGTAATATTTCCCTTGATAATACAAATTGACATTCATGCAATTTTTGTTATGATATTATGTTGCAAGTGACATTACAAACATCTTTATTATAATTAAAAAGATGGTTTGAAAATTAATTTCATGTTGGGATATGCATCCTAATTTCGTAATTAAATCCTTTCCTAGCTAGTTAGTCCACAAAGGACATGCAATTACTTGTTGTTCAAAGATCTAATATGTTAAAAAAAACATATGCAACTTGTCCACATGATTTCTTTTTGTTCAATTGTGTCGCCTATGCCATGAAAATCACACAAATGGATACATACAGTTAGGTTTGAAGAAAGGATATGAGACATCCGTCATGAGTCATGCTAGCTGCTTGCCCAGGTCTCGAGGACATGAATCACTGTGAAATATCAGTTCATGTCAATAGAAAAAAAATAAAGAGATTTTTTTTTTCATTTTTTATCTCACAACCATATATATATATATATATATATTTCATGGTTTTTTATTATATTTGATTATTGCCAAAGTGACAAAGATTGAAGATTGGAATTTTACGTCATGTTGCAGGGTGAAATGCTGTAAAAGAAAAGATTGATTAAAAGACAAATTGAAAGTAATATTTTTTTCCTCGCTTAAAACGTTGATTTGACCAAGAAAACGTCTACGGAAGATTTGGTTCAATCCAAGATTTTGGACAGCCAATCGGCAATCGTAACGAATCATCCCAGAAAACAACAATATATTCCAGAGTTCAACTGTTCACACTGAAAATATCACAGGAAAAATCAAAGTAAACACGTTCAAAACACGTTCACGTGTCAGGTCAACGAGTTAATTGTACTAATTTGCTTTTGGAGACATTGTAATCCCCACATGTTTCCCTCTGCAAAAGAAAATATTGGGAGTCCTCGTGGAAGATATGGGTAAATTTCCTAGTGAATTTTAAGGCATCCGATTCATATTTAGCAATTAGCTTCATTCGAAGTGGGAAAACAACAAGAAGATGATAGACAACATTGAAATTTGTGCACATCTATAAATATATTAAGTCAATTTGGAATTCAACCCTTTGTGTACATTTTTAATTAAATCTTAGTTTAATGTAGCAACAACCGTCCAAAAGGACCAAAACTAAACTATATAAGGGTTTAGATTAATATTTATTGTGTTTATTGAATGTTTGGTAAGGCATGCAAAGTGTGCGTGATGAAATATTAAACCTAGCATGGGCCATGCAAGTCAACTTCGAATTTATTTTCTTCAAAGGATTTTTTAGTGGTCCAGTTAATTTCAATAATTATATAATTAATAGTGACCATGAAAATCCCATACTGAAATTTAGCAAATTCCCTGAAAGATTTTGGTTACTAAAACTATATATATATTAATATTTTGATTTTAAAAAATCTGACTTGCTGAAGAGGATCATCATCGGCTGCAGTTTAAAAAACAACAGGAGAAAAACCAAAGAAAAGTGAAGAGAGAGGATCTTTAATAGTATTTGCCGATTTGGTAAGCGGGGGAGAGATGGAGTGAGGGCCGATGCATGGCTAAAAACGTAGTTGTAAGATGGGAGGCAGTGGCTCGAGCTGAGCAGCATCACCCACGTGAACCATCGGCAGCTGGGGACCCCATGTAGATCCTCCGTATCCGAAAGTGGGCCCCACAGCCATTCCCCTTCCAAAGCGTATGTAAGCAAGGGGAAGGGGGCCACCCCGCACCAGAAGCAACCCTCTCTCTCACACACGTGTCTTCCCAACCCTTGCACGTGAATGGCCACGTGTCTTCCATTCTGGCCCCCACCTTACGCTAGTGCCACCCTTTTGTCCTATAAATTTAGAACCTGTATCTCATATCCTAGACACAAAAAGAGCGACATAGTCAGACTCAGAAACTCTACTCAGGCGCTTCAGCAAAAACCTACCCTTTTTCCTTCAAATTCCTCGTTTGCCTTCAAAGCCACCAATTTTATCTTTATACCCAACATTAAAAAAGAACCAAAAAAAAAAAAAAAAGGGGGCAAAGCAAAGCAAAGAAACAAGAGGAATCTGTGCATATTGATTGTTGCGTAGTAAATCTTTGAAAGCGTTATCTGGGCTTACGTTAACGCTGCCACCAAAGATCTTGTTCCTTTTCTCATCTCTTTCATCCTTATCTATCTCCCCTTTAACACCTTTTTATTTGCTCTTTTTCTTCTCTATATATTCATTTCATTGTTCCAAAGAAACCATACCTTGCGGCAGCAAAAACAAGGGGAAGAAGCATTGTTCTGCTTTGATATGGCAACCAAGCTTCTTTTAACATTTGCTATTTGTAGATTGATTGTTACTGTGGGATTGACCCTAGACCCCACGGAGCTTCTCCGCCTGGGTGTTGACGGTCAACTCAGTGTTGAACCCACCGACGTGGAAACGGCTTCTCTCGATTTTGGTTTGCTCACCCGAGCCAAGCCGCTGGCTGTCTTGCATCCAGCTTCGGCTCAGGACATAGCTCAGCTTGTTAAAGCAGCCTACAGGTCAAATCACGGGCTCACCGTGTCGGCTAGGGGACATGGGCATTCCATAAACGGACAAGCTCAAACCACAAACGGGGTGGTGATTCAGATGAGTGGTTCGAAAGGGGGAAATGGGCTGACCTCAGGGAGGAAGCCACCTCACCCTCGAGTTTGGGCTCGAGAGAGATACGTGGACGTGTGGGGTGGGGAGCTTTGGATAGATGTGTTGAAGAGTACCTTAGAGTATGGACTCGCACCAAAATCATGGACCGATTATTTGTACCTTTCAGTTGGTGGGACTTTGTCAAATGCTGGAATTAGTGGCCAAGCTTTCAATCATGGTCCACAAATTAGCAATGTCTACGAGCTTGACGTCGTTACAGGTTAATTTCTTTTAACTCTGAATGCCCATTTTTCCTTGTCACAGTTCCTTTCATTTTTGTTAAAAAAAAAAAAGTTAAAGGGTGTAAATTTTCCTAGGTCAAAAGATTTTCTGTTAACGTTTTTCAATGACTTCTGATGTGGATTTTATCTTAATTTTGGACTTTTAAACGTTTTTTTTTTTTTTTTTACATGTGGTACTACTGAGCATCATGTACAAGAATGTTAGGTACGGGCATGCATCTTTTCTATTGAATTTTGGTCATATTTTCCGAATATTATTTTATCTGTATTTGACTTTTTTTGGTGAACAGGAAAAGCTGAGCTCTTGACATGCTCGGAAGAACTAAACCCAAAACTGTTTCATGCTGTTCTTGGCGGTTTAGGACAATTTGGGATTATCACCAGAGCTAGAATTTCTCTTGAGCCAGCTCCACAAAGGGTATCTCTCTAAGCATTATTTATAAACACCTTTATTCGTTTAAAAGGGTTTTTGGTTGGTTCCAGAGTATGGGACACGAAACTTTTACAATTTCCTAGTATTAGTAATGTCAAAACCTAAAAAGAAAAGTTAAAGAGTTAAAGGGAGGGGTTGGGTCCATTTCAGCCTTTTAACGCCGTTTCAAACAGCTGTTTCAAAAGCTGGCAATGTTGTTGACGTGTCGTTTTTGTCTCTAACGTGGTCTTTTCTTGGGTCTCCTTGTTTTTTTTCTTATCACTGTAGGTAAGGTGGATCAGGGTACTGTATTCCAATTTGTCGGCTTTTACCAGGGATCAAGAATATCTTATATCTCTGCATGCACAATCAGTTAGCCAGAAATTCGACTATGTTGAAGGTTTCGTAATTGTAGATGAAGGGCTCATCAATAATTGGAGATCATCTTTCTTTTCCCCTCGAAACCCTGTCAAAATTTCGTCTCTTGGGGCTAATGGAGGCGTCTTGTATTGCTTGGAAATCACCAAGAACTACCATGAATCTACTGCTGATACAGTTGATCAGGTATATATATTTGTAAACCACTCTTGACCCTTGCTTTAAGCACAAGCCGAATCCCCTTAATATGTCATTAATGATGTTTATTAGTGCATTTAACTATTATTAATTAGAAGTACTAAGTATTAACTCGAGCTTAATTAATTATTACTTAATTCATAGCTTGTGAACACAGACAAAGAAATTAAAAAGGATTCATCATTGTTCACTTTGTTATAGAATTCAAAGTGGGTGGCCTTGTTATCGATTAAAAGAAAACTACTACTACGACTAGTCCTTTTGTTTCATCTATTACGTATGCAAGTTGTATTTGGACAACTAGCATATACCTAATTTATTAATCTTGTTTATTTCTTTGAAAACACTGCAAGTTGAAGATTTGAATCCCTCTCCTGTTATTGAATTTATTCGTATTATGTGTATATATTGAAAAAAGAAAGAAAAAAATGACCTTTTGGCAGCCTTTAATTATGAAGTTATTAGATAGAAGTCTTACAAAATGAATTTTTTTATTTGGAAGTTAGAACCTTCTACCAACATCATTGTCCTTCGTTTGCATTATTGTGCATGTCCAAAGTCATTGTTTTTTTGTTTTCTAAAGCCATATCACTTGAGAGGTTGTTGTCAAAAGTAGTCAGTAAGGACATACTGCATACAAACACACCTCAATTATGCACATTCATATGTTTATATGCAAAATTATAAATAAACGAAAGATTAAAAAAATTAATCATTTATAGGATAGAGATGATTACTTTCTGAAGTAAATATTTTATGAAGAATAAGCTAATTAAAAATGTAATGGAAACATATGCAAGAAAACATGAAAGATCTAGTGAGATCCATCATCCCATCAAATCCTAAGAATGAACACTACTTTATAATTGAATATTACATTTAAATATTACTCAATCTATGCCGTCCATGGTCCCACTCACCAAATTATTCTCCTCTAATTAATCTCTCTTCCCAGAGCTAATTAAAAAGAATTTGATTGGAATCGAACTTATCCTGACAAAAGCAACTGTTTGGTCTGGTAGCAGCTTTTTTTTTTTTACTTTGATTGCATGTTCTAATGTTTTCTTGTTTTAAAATGACAGCGAATTTTTTAATTCTGAACCTTTGGGTGGTTTTATCGCAGGAAGTAGAGTCTTTGTTGAAGAAATTAAATTTTATACCGACGTCAGTGTTTACAACTGATCTGCAGTATATGGATTTCTTGGATCGGGTCCACAAGGCCGAGTTGAAGCTCCGGTCCAAAGGCTTGTGGGAGGTTCCGCACCCATGGCTAAACCTTTTTGTCCCCAAGTCAAAGATTGCTGACTTCGACGAAGGAGTCTTCAAGGGCATTTTGGGGAACAAAACGAGTGGACCAATTCTCATCTACCCAATGAACAAAAACAAGTAAGCTGTCGAGAATCCATTGTTATCATTGCTCATGTCCTTTCGACGCCAAGCATTCTATGCATGAAAGATATACATTATCTTCACATGGCCCCATGCCTACTTAGGTCATGATGCATCATGATGTTGAAGTCACCCTTCCATTTCTAACATAATTTTTACATGCTATAATATGCTATCTGAATATAATTAACTTAATTATAAACATGTGATCCATACATATATTACGCATGCTATTGATGTGTTCATGCACATGCAAATTAACGCATATTCAAAGCCTTTGACCCTACTAAGCTATAAATCCTTACATACTGAATAGAGATAAGAGTGTCGGCAACCGCAGATTTACATTGGCCTCGAGTTTTCACTTTTCGATGTTAACGAGCCTGATTGACCATATATATTCACAATCAAGGCCTCGTTCTGAAAAGGAGAGGTATCTACTCCGTCAGGTAAATCCATGGTTCCGTACGTAGAAAATAGAAGATAAAAGAAGAATAAATGGAGTGGTGAAAAAATCAGGTAGTACCATGAGTAATTTGACCATGGTGGTCCTAACTCATGACACACAGCACTGCATTAGAAAGGAAAGCACGTGGGGCAACATTCAGATGCCTCCAACGCCAAGAGATAAAATGTTTTTAGTGATCAAGGCCAGCTAGGATTGATTACCACTTTAGGCTTTAGCTCTTTTGCTGACTGCAACCCAACAAATCAACGGTAATGATCATCCAAGTTGCAAGATTCTCGTGTCAGGAGATCTTCTCCTAGGGACCCATTGATGGGAAGTATCCATGTCTTGTTTAGAAAGTAGTTCCAGAGATATAGCTAGTACAGCTTAACGACCAATCACCCCCAGAATCCTGGGTCCCTTTGATTTGTTCAAAACCATCAAATCTCAAGTACCATTTCCACACAAACAATGCTCCGAAAACACTACATGATTTTTACTATACAAAAAATGCTTTGCTGCATTTTGGATTGATGTGTGCGTGTTTGTAATATGGTGCAGATGGGACCCTAGGAGCTCCGTGGTGACGCCAGATGAGGATGTGTTTTACCTGGTGGCATTGCTAAGATCAGCCTTAGATAATGGGGTGGAGACCCAGAGCCTGGAGTACCTGACCAATCAGAATCGTCAGATTCTCAGATACTGTGATGAAGCTGGGATCAATGTGAAGCAGTATTTGCCTCATTACACTACGCAAGAGGAGTGGATGGACCACTTTGGCAATAAGTGGGATCGGTTCAATCAAATGAAAATGGAATTTGACCCAAGGCACATTTTGGCCTCAGGCCAACAGATTTTCACACCCTCCTTCCTTTCCTCTTCGAATATAGCTTCATGGTTATAACCATTGATACAAACAAAGCTAGAAACAGACATTAACGTACTGACTTAGGAATATCTTGTTTTTGCTGTACATAGAAATGACATCAAAGGGGCAAGAAGGGAAAATGATGAAATTTTGGTATACCAAATTGGAAAGAGGGATGAAAAGACTTGGGGGGGGGGGGGGATATGATCTTTGCAAGGCACATGTGATGTTATTGTGATTGCAGTGCTCGTGACCCGACCGGCCCAACTGATTGCCTTCTGGATGTTGTCTACAGGTGGTTCCAGTTCCATCCAGCGGGGATTGGCGATTTTCTGTTTTTACCCTTTTTTAGGACCTGTAAATACAAAACTAGTTTGTAAAAAAATGCAGTTCATAAGTTTCAGATGGATGACATAGACTACAGAGTAGTAGATCTGCAAGGATCTTTGTTTTGGGATATCCCATGTTTTACTCAAGTTGCAGGACTCACTGGATTACAAAGTCTTTGTCGCGTTCACAAGGCACAATTGCAAACAAGACAGGATTGGCAACATCATGTCAGAAACAAAACAAGAAAACTATTAAGCAGTAACTCGTAGGATATGACATGACAGAAACGTGCTATGAAAACTGTCCTATCATGATTAGTGCGCGGTTAACGTGACTTTTAAAGTGGCATGGTCATAGTTTCTTTTTTAATTTCCACAAAAACAAAAATGAAAAATGACCAATAAAGCGGAGGTAGACAAACTCACAAATTAGACTTAAAAGGGTGAAAAACAAAATAAAAGGGTAACTATAGTGCTCTTAACTTTTGTACTCTCAAGGTATCAAAACCTACTTAAATCTTATGTTAATCTTAGCACAGAAAGTTAGAAGCAGCTAGCATGTAATGACACAGCATGATTGGCATTAATATTGAATCCTTTGCCTCGATTTTCTTTGTGAATTTTCTCTAGGCAAGTGAATATATCATTTTCTTTTTCATTGATGTTCCTTCAGCAACCAATTTAACTGCCTGCAATGTACTAACAAGGGCCCCTTTCATATTTTTTTTCCTCTGGTCTTCCAAGCAAGCCTGGTTGTAGAGGAATAAGCCAATTATTGCAAAAAGAGGAATTCCAATGTGGGGTGAAGAACACAATAGAAGAAAAGCTGAATTCTAAAAACCAACACTTTCTCCATTCTTAAACTCAATTCTGAACATTCAATAATCTGAAACTACTTCAATAGTCCAAAGTCCTGTTTATATGGCTCCATAAGCCATATGATATAAGGCCAGATGACATAAAGTCCAAAGAAAATGATGCTAGCCTAGTAAAGCCCACACAAAAAGGTTTCAAGAAAAGAAAGTAAGGCTCATAAGTTTAAGCTCTATTCTTAAAATTTTTGCCTAAGGTAGGCCCACCTAAAACATTTAGGCAGTGGTCCCTAATTATTTTTTTGGATCAGATGCATTCCGTAAAAAAGTGATAAAAAAAAGAACATGCTTATTGATTGTAGTTATAAACATTAATAATTTAGTTATTGAAAGAAATTAAGAAAAAAAAAAGGTTATTTTATCTTTGAACAGTTGATGGCTTGATGACAGTAAGTTTATCATACACATCTATGCTAAGCAACAATAAAATAAAATCTCCAAGCACTTGACAAAGTAGCATACAAACACATACTAAGAGACAAAACATAAACCTATCTCTTCATGTATTTTTGAAGGTTCCCGAACTATGACAAATTTTCCGCACTGTAATTACATAAACTATCATACTAAGCCCTCAAGAGTCATCTGTTATTTCCACTTAACACTTATTTTAAAGATGCCAATAAATGCAATGGAGAAGGTTTTATAAAAGTATGAGAAGGCAGATAACTATCACAGGCAATGACAAAGCACATAGTGTAAATCAAGCAAGTAGAGGCTCATGCACTTAAAGATGACAGAAACGTGCCCAACCAACCATGGTGAACCAGATTTTTCACCCTCCAACTAGATTGCATAGGAAACTGCTGGTAGAGATTCCAGATATTGATCTGATAGTAATAGGTTAAAACAAAATTAGAGCAAGTTAACTGGCAAGCTTTACATAATTAGAGAATCTATTATGTGTTCTTTGCCCTCAGTAGACTGCCTATATGGTTTTGAGGAACGCAGATAAATAGATGCATAGACTTCCAAAACGAATCTCCACCATAAAAATAAAAAGAGGATACTCCTGGCTCAAGTGGATTTCTCCTCCACATAGCAAAATAATAAACCATTCATCGCATCTTGTCACATTGAATCCCTTCACCAAGAATGAATAGCTCTTTCAATCCTTTCCTCTGACTCTCACCACTTGATAAAAACTAATTGTAGTTCAAGAAAGATAGGCAGATGTATTGTTCACCTTGAATCCCCAAAATCAGGGAACTTTCTTCAAGAAACTGAGAAAGCTTGTGAGGAGGAACATAGAAATTTGTATTATTGTTTCACTTGCAGAAGCCCTCAGCCTCTCCTTCCTTGAACCGGCACGTTTCGGAAGAAATCCAACTGCAACAGTGTATAAGAGATATTGGAGTCAAAATTTCCAAACATTCAAAGAAACAAGCTCAACCACAAGATTTCACAAAAGAATTACCAAACGTGAACTCATCAGTGGAAAGCCATGAGGCAGAAAGAGCAGTTAAGAAGGCAGAGGGTCCAGGAATTAGAAGCACAGGAATGTTTTCATCCACACATATCTTTGCGTAAACCTAGAATCCAAACATTAGTCATTACATTCTTCATCAAAGACCAAAAATAAACAACCAATTCATCTAAACTTATATGTGGAAACATTCTACAGCGTTCCGCCAATGAAGATTCAAATCCTAACCAGTTCCGTACCAGGATCACTAATTTCTGGTGTTCGTGCATGGCTGATCAAGGCGAGATTACAAGAGGATTGTTAATGCTGTAATAGCGAAATAACTTCCCGGAATGCCGTGTCCTCCGAGAGTATAACGTCAGCTAATTTCAAGACCCGAAGAGCACTGCATTAATGAAATTATCAATAATGATTTTAATAAATAAATAAATAAAAGAAGAGAAATAAATTACCGTAAAGTGATATCTAAAAGGTTTCCAATTGGTGTTCGAACGAGATAGAGTCCAGGCTTGAGAGGTCCCTGTCACCGCAATAACGGAAACTGCATTAAATAATTTGCGAATAAAGTTCAAAAGGAATAGAAAAAGTGACAAAGAGTGGGGTTTTATGCGTTTGGAGGACTGTTTGGTGATTAAGTAGGTGAATTCTGATGAACTTTGGGAGGTCGAGCTAAAGGAAAGGAGGGTAAGTTTAGGGTAAAAGGAGAGAGAATTAAGGGATTGAAGGTGGGGCTGAGTAGAGAAGAAGTAAGGAGAACGCCAGGAAAGAGCGGTGGTTGCGACGGAAAGGCGGTTGAAGAGCAGCATCATCACTTCAGGGTAGAATAGGAGACCAATTGCTTACTATGGTTAATTCTCCGGAGCCCAGACCCATATAAATAATATTGAAAATCCAAGATCGAAAGGTTAGGGCTTGACCTTTTGAGAACTAGGTCCAAGCCCAACTGGCCATCGTACAGGGCCTGAGCTTTTGAGATGTAGTCCAAGCTCAACCTGGCCCTTCAACGAGTTGTCGTGTCCCTCTGCCCCACTTTTCCATTAGTTGTTCTTTTCCCCATTTCCGCCATTCCCTGCTTTTCTCTCTGTATGAAATTCTCCGAGTTTTCAATTTTTTCCAAGGAAAATGAATAATTTGAGTGAATTTTACTCCTTTCGTCCCTTAAAACTTTTGTAAGTTGCGAATTTAGGAGATTAAAATGCAAGAGAGAAAAAATCTCTTCAAAAGGAGGATAAAGAAAAACGGCCATGTCAGCTACAAACAATTTAAATCAGATAGAACTTGGAAAACCCCTCCAAAATTCTCAACAGTCAAAGAATAACCCAAGAAAAGAGAGCTTCATGCTGCTTCTTAACTGGTTCTTTTCCATCCCAACTCAGGGCTTCGCAGCGCTGTTCTGCAAAAAGATTCTCTCCAAAAATATTATCATCAGCAAAAGTAAGCCTTAAATATAAATAAACCATCAACCTGCAATGAAGTGTATTGTCCTTCCGGGTAATCCTACCACAGTAAACAAAGCGGGAGTGTAACACGATTGGAAAAAGAAAATGTTTATATTGTTTACTCTGCTGATTAGAGGCAACCACATTCAAATTAAATCTACGTTTAATTCATAATTTCATACACAGCCAGATAAATGTTAAACGTTACCATGGCAATTAGGGAGGGGCCATCCTCCCTTTCCCATTTCCCCTGATAAAAACCCTCGGTTTTTATACACATTATAGATAACAGGTTTATATTATTACACTTTATCATCATGGAACCACCATCTCGTCTCCTTAGGAGACCTGCCATTGCTACAGTTCCTCACGTATCGGTCATTATCAGCTGGCTGTTGCTGCATAATGACAAAGTGAATTCAGTATTCCAGTTTTGACCAGATCTTGGAGAAGGAAAACAAATGGTCAAATTGTTGATAAATTTCAACAAACCTTCACAGTTGAGCTTGATAACATGGAGAGAATGCTGATGCAAATGGAACTCACAGTCATGGCTGGGGACCAGCTATCATACAGAATATCTGCAAATGAATGAGACACAATATTGACTGTTGGTTAGCTAGATAATTGATCACTTGAATATGACAAAGAATGGTACAAAATGGATATTAATGACCAAGCAGCCTTTGCTGTTTTTTTACATTATTCAAGAACTTGGTGTGCCTATTTGTTTTACATTAACTCTTGTAATGTGTTTTTGCTTCCTGCAACCTATTTTGGTCTAAAATGCATACCAGAAAAATAACTGAATGACATTTTATCATCAAACATATTTGCCAAATAGTGTTATGGATCATACTATCCTGGTATTGCGAACCACCAAACCAAGTAATCATGAGAGCATCAGAAAATTAGACTGAAATGAAAACTCACATACACATGAAGCGCAAACACCAAGGACGCATTCTCAAATAAAATATAAATTGATGCATGAAAAACAATGCATAACAGATTTGTTTAAGGCCAGAAAGGTTATCGTTAAGCAAAAATCTAAAGAAAGAACAGTTGGAACCAAAGTGCCATATTCAATGTCTACATGAGACTTACCCAATCATCAACACCTTGAGGATCAAATAGAGCCCACAGACACAGAAGACACTTTCAGGATGAAACATATTTTACTTGATTGTGTGATACATACAACATTCTTCAGAGTCAAGACTCACTCATGACTACGACGAGTAAACTGCTAAAAACAAGAAATTTACTTAACAATTTGACGCTTTAAAAGCAAAATGACCTCCTACATCTCTTAGACATCTTCCGGTACATATTTTTCTACTAATTGATATTTCCATTAGGTGACCAAACATTCTCTCTTAGACACCTTTCATAACCAGTAATGTACTAAGCTAGAGTATCTGCAAGCATAGGACAGCAACAAAAAATTTCATAACACCTCTAGTCACCTCTGAAAGACAAACATGGAGAAATTTATCACATATCACTCTGTGACGGTATAATTACTTTCTGGTATTTAATCAGAAAGTATTCAGCACCAAAAATCTAATTAAAAGTTTTTACAGCATCTTAATATAATCACAGTTTGACTAGAAAATTGAATGATGACAATGACAACAGAACAGCAGAAGTGTATAGATCCAAGGAATAAATAATTGGCTCAAGAACTACTATTAACAATCATAAAAGTTGCTATATCAAACTGTTATTTTTACATCCAACGAAAGCGCCATAGGCATGCTATATCATTGGCACATTAGAGGACCTTCCACTTATGCAGTATGCCATTCCTTAAAATCTATCACTACAATCAGAATTGTCTTTTGCAAATACCACATAACTACTGACTACACTTTCTACCGGGAACTCAAAGTCATATGTCAAAAAGAACCACTACATTTGTGATTATAAATAATCATATCATGTCCAGCAAACTTCACAAATCACCATTCTCTATCAGCTGTAAACATCATAGATATTTCAAGCAATAAGATTAAAAGGACTACTTGTTTAAAATAATTATAGTTAGCAACAAGTAAAGCAACAAATTAACCTTAACAGATCATGAGTCCAGCAATGATTAACAAAAAATTAACACTAGCCAATACCTAAACAAATATGTCCATTGCTGTAAATGTGAGGATGCAGCGGAGCCGGAGGGACAAAAATCACCTGCTCAATCAACAAAAGAATACCATAATCTTCATTCATAAATAAAACAGCAATCACCAAGGAAAATAAATAATTTTCATTCAATTGTTACTTATCTTTTCACTTTCATTATTTACTCAGTAATAAAACAAAAAGGAAAAGGAAAGAAAAGGGGTACCTGGGGTGCCTCCATAGGGTAATGCTCAGGAAAATCAACCTGAAGCTGATAAGTTTCATTAGCATAAAGCGTTCCAGAGGCTCCGTTGACTTCGATTATCCATCTTTCCACCAAAAAGATATATCCAAAAAATTAAAGACTAAAATCCCTAACTAATCCCCCGATTAACAGAATTACCCAGAAAATTAATTAAAAGAGTAAACAATAAACCTTTGGAGATTATCAGTAACTTTGTGCTTGAATCCGACCGGTGGATTAACTTGCCACTCCGCCAGCTCTTTCTGGAGTCTATTACATGCGATCTTGCTTAAATCCTACGCAAAAGAAAAAAATCCCAAAAAAATCCAAAAATAAAGTCAAAAAAATCAAACAAATAGAAAAACAAAAATAGAAAAGAAATTCAACAGACGCAACCGAAACTAGGGCAAATAAATAAAGTAAATAAATAAAAAAGGGAAAAGCAATAGAAACCTTGCGTGAATGAGCGGAGGTGCTAGTCATGGCTCGTGCGAGAGAGAGATCGAGAGAAGGAAGTTGCCATCTAACTCTGGTTTTTTTATATAGTAAGCCAGTCCAGTAGTATGATTGGTCGAGAATTTGGCGGAAAATGTCACTAGATCGGACGATCTAGAAAAAACTTTTTGGTCAAGATTATGAAGACTAATATATGGATTGCTGCATATTTCCACGTGGCAGGGCAATTTGGCTTTTGGAGATATTCTCCGATCACGTTGACTTTTGGTGGGATGGATAGGATCGGGTAAGGTACCTTGCGTTGCAATTCTGATTTGCTCAATGTACCAAAAACAATTACTTATGTTTATTAATAAGAAAAATAAAAGAATATATGTTATAAAGTCTATGGAATATTGGTCTTTATAATCATAATTAATTCTTGTTTTATAATTTGATATTCAAATTAATTTTAGGGGGTTTGGTTCAGGAAAATTTGTATTTTTTTTATGAAATTTTATTATTAGGTATTTAATTTCAATGTTTAATTTAAAATAATTTGATTTCAAAAAAAATTGATAAATTTCTAATAATATTCAAAAACTTGAAATAAAAAACTCACTTTTCCTATAGTATTTTAGAATTTCAAAATAAAAGTAATGTAATTTTCATATTTGACCTAAATAAAAAATTGTGAAACAACAATTATTTTTTCGATTTTTTGAAATGAATTATTTAAAGCATTTTTAAAAATTCAGAATAATCTAATTCCGAAAAAAACTAACAAATTTCTAATAATATTCAAAATCCTAATATAAAAAACTCACTCTCCCTATAGTATTTTAAGATTTCAAAAGAAAAGTAACATAATTTTTAAATTTGACCTAAATAAAAAAATTGTGAAATAACAATTACTCTTTTGATTTTTTGAAATATATTATTTAAGACGTTTTTAAAATAAAAACACTTTAAATAATATGTTTTGATTTTTTGAAGGAGATTATTTAATCATTTATTTAAGGTGTTTTAAATAAATACCTTAAATAATATTGTTCAATTTTGAAATGACTTATTTAAGGTATTTTTTGGATAAAAATACTTTAAATAATTTCCTTTAAAATGCATCAACGAATTTTTTAAGGTGTTTTTGTCTAAAAATACCTTAAATAATACTCTTCAATTTTTTTTGTTAGCTTATTTAACTAGTTTTTTAACAAAAAAATCTTAAATAATCCTTTTTAGAATGCATCAAGACAGTTTTCAAGATATTTTTTTGTCAAAACATCTTAAATAATCATTTTTATTACTTATAAGATTTAAGAGATAAAATATAAAGACACTGAAGTAGCTAAGTGTCTTAAATAATCAATTTCATTTTTTAAAATTTAAAAGATAAAATATAAAAATATTGGAGTAACTTACTCGATTAAAGAATATGATTATTAACCATAAAATCGTAAGTTTAATAATTCGTTTTAGTTTAAGACAGTTTTGTAATCCTTTTATTTAAGGCCTTTTTTGCCTTAAATAATCTTTGAAAAACCTTTAAAAGGCTAGAAGGAGAAATCGAACATACAAACTTATGGTTAACAGGCATATGTTTTAACCAATTAAGTAACTTTAATTTTTTTATATTTTATCTCTTAAATCTTATAAGTAATGAAAGAGGTTATTGAAAAAAGTTTTTTTTTTTTTTTTAATCTAAAAACACCTTAAATAAGCTCATTCAAAATAGAAAGATATTATTTAAGGCGTTTTTGAACAAAAAAATATTTTAAATAACAAAAAATACCTCAAATAATCTATTTCAATTTTTTGAAGTGTATTATTTAAAAAATCCACTAATACATTTTAAAATGGATTGTTTAAGACGTTTTTATCTAAAAACACTTTAAATAAGCCAAATAAAAAAATTGAAAAATATTATTTAAAGCATTTTTTGTTTACAAATGCCTTAAAAAATTCGTCAATACATTTTAAAGAAATTATTTAAGACCTTTTTAGATTAAAAATATCTTAAATAATCTCATTATATTTTTTAAATGGTTAACAACCATCATTATATATATCAATTAGGTTATAGTAATTATTCAAAATTTAATATATGTGAATTTTTCCTAATCAAACGAATAAATCTAAACAAAGGTGCCCAAAAATTAAAAAAATATCTTGAATATCGTACTTTTTTTAGAATTACACTTTTTTCAAGAATTTATGATTCCGCAAGCCAAACTTTTTTTTAGTGTAAATTTCAATTACTAAATTAGTAATATAAGGGTTTTTTTTTTTTAATTTCATGTGTGGTTTTAAAATTTTAATTTTTCATATGTGATTTTTTATTAATTTTTTAAAAGAAAATTAAATTTTATTTTAAATCCATTAATCCACTAAAATTTTATTAAAATTTCATCAAACATGAAATGAATTTATTACGTTACACTTTAGTAAGTATACACAGAACAAATTTCGTTCAAATATTAATGGTATATTAATGAAATGAATGAATGAATTTAAAACAAATTCAAAAACTTGTGACAGAAAATAGTTTTTTTTAAATCGAAGGTAAAATTGAAATTGAGTGAAAAAACATACTTTCTAGGGAAATAAAGTGTTTCAGGATAGTTTTCTTTCATTAATTGGGAAAAATGGAAAATTGCTACAACCTGACAAATCTTCAGGTAAGAGATATCGACAATGAACAAATAGCTAGATTAAAGTCACCATCAGTTGAATTTCACAACGTCAATAAATTTTTTTTTTTATATGGGTTGCCAATTTCCACAGGGTAGTTGTCTGTTCATTTCAATCAAATTTTCTTTCAGTAAATTTTTTGTTTTCTTCTATAACAACAATAATATTTTAACTGTGGAAAATGAATTCAAAATCTTATTATATGTTGCCATGAGAAAAATATGAGAGCTAAATTCCACAATAAATTCCACTATTAAGCTTCAAAAATGTTTTGGAATTTTGAGCCTAATAAGTTTGGAATCAAATCCTGAAGGAGCATTGCACATTGCACAATCTGATTGTCTAATGACTTTGGTTACAAAAACTAGAGGGTGATCTGAGGGAGCATAGATTACTATCTGTCTTCAATCCTCAGCTTGATCTGTGATTCCTTCCCTGCCCATGGAACTGCTGGCTAACGATGGATCAGAGTCTTGTGAAGAGTCCGCGAACTCCTCTTTGTACATTTCTTCTATCATAGGCTTCCATAATCGAACTCGGGCATTTATAAACCAGTTTGACACCTGAATTAACAACAATAAGACCCAAATTTGGCATATAAAAGAAATCATTATCCAAATAGATGTAAGGGATTATACTTGATTCTTGGTCAGGCCTGTCTGTGATGCCAACATCAGCTTCTCTGAGTCAGTTGGATAACTGTTAACAATCGTGCAACAAATAGTAAGAATTGTGTTACATAGAATCGATTCCGAAGTGATTGAACTTGAATGCACTTACGGATGAAGGAAGTGCTCGAAAAGCCAAGACCGAAGGATTGCTACAGAGGTTTCTGGCAATCCTCTAATAGGCCTCCAAGCTTGCCTCTGACTTGGGATCATTCCAAGCTGTTGAAGAGACAGTCGGTTGTGTCTAGAATCTCTATCAAACAGGCTAAGTTGCGATAATCCCCTGTTGATTCTCGGTAAATCGTGCGAAAACTTTCTTCTGGTGACATTTACTTGAGATATTATGGCATCTTTTAGACTGCCAAAATGCCTGGACATTGCTTGGAGTGCCAAAGCAGTATAAGACTTTGCTGCTCCAATACCAGCTAGCGCTTCAAATGATGAAACCACTTCTTCCATTTGCTGATAGTATTTCTCGTATCTGAGCTCAACCTGACAATGAAACAATAATGAAGTTATGAGTGATTTTCATAAGCAACCAAGTTCAAATTTAACTAACACGACAAAATATCCCACAGGGTCTGCTAACCTCCTCGAGTAATCCAATTAGCTTTGCAAGTCTAATTTGAAGCTCTTGTTTTTCAGGCAATAATATCTCGTTACTGCAGAATTCTGCTCTTAGTTCAGAGGAAAGTCTTGACCACCCTCCTCTGTCACCTAGATATAACTTCCCAAAAAAATTTTCCTCAATCTTTTTGCTGCCAACATTGACAACTTCATCTAGAAGTGACTGAGTTGGCCTTAGATACCTTGAATTCCCAATAGCAGTGGCAAAAGATTCTTCTCCATATGTAGTGGAACAAGATCGGTGTAGTGAGTTAGAAGCTGAAGCAAATGTGTTACCAGTGAAAGAGTAATCACTTATGTGTTCCACTCCTGGATTATAAACTTCTCTATCTTCTGCCCCGGAAAGCAAGTAACTGGAACTTGCAATATTAGAATTTAACGAAGGACCAAGCATGTGAGAACCGAGAGAGAGGGAGAGCCTTTGAGTTTGGTGGTTCGTCTTGTTAGCTGCTCCAAGAAGGTCCATCAAGTGTCTAGTCTGGCTAATCTCTGATTCCTCCGTGACAATGGGAGCTGGAAGAAGGTCCATTGATCTAGACATTCTTTCCCCTAGAGAATGAATGCTAGGCAACAAACCAAGAGACTGAGGAAATGTGTTATGGTTGCCTCTCAAAGCAGAGCCATAAGCATCAAAATGTTGGCTCCCAAATTGGTTTTGGCTATTAATAGAGTCTGAGACAATGAATTGGTGTAGCATACTAGAAGTTGGATTTGGAGGTGAATCTCGTGAAACCATAGTGACAAAAATGACAAATGGAAGCTGAAGATTTTAAAAGTTGCTAAAACACGAGGGCAAGTGGATTTCAAATGTGTGGAAAAAGAAACTATGAGCATTGGTTAAGGACTGAAAGAGATATAGAATCTGGAGGTACCGTATCAAGAACAGTGAGTCACCGAGTCCACTAACATTATTGAGCCATTCATAAATCATACAGTAAGTAAAAGCAACGACAAATTACCGTTGACAAGCATTAAAAGCGAGTAATGGTAAGACCTAGTTAAAACAAGGTGAATATATTCATCAACAGATGACAAAGTAAAAGAATTTAAAGTTGCTGAGCATTAAACACAGGGCCACCTGAAGTAATGGATGACACAACAGAAATGGAAAATCTGTACTGACTTTTGCACCCAAGGCAACTAAGATCTAGAGCCAGAGACACAAAGAGATCACAAAATCAGTAGCCATAAGCAAGATTACCATCAGGGCAGTTCCTTTCCTTGAAAAGCAAAACCCTTCAAAATTAAGCTGATGGGAGCCGGGAGATGGGTGGGAAATGCAACAAGGAGTTTCAATGTGTGAAAACCATGGATGGAGAAGGGAGAAATAAGAAGGGGATTGTCGGATTGAAGTACAGGAATTGGTATTACTGAAAACAAGACAAAGAAATAGTAAACTAATGAGCCATTTGTAACTAACTGAAGACCTGATTGGGTGAAATTGACATTGAGGAACTATCAATAAAGCTATAAAGATAGTGGAACTCACTTGTCTTTAATAAGCATAAAAAATGAATGGGAAAGCAATCAACAAAGCATCCATCTGTAGGTGGAAAACTGCAAACATCCCTTTGTTGATAGTAGTAACAAATACTAATATTGCTTAGAGCAAAAGAATGATTTTTATCTTAGAAAAAAATGAAGAGGTCTAATTCTAAGCTGCCAAAAGCTAGAAGAGCTAGATACATAGACCTCTGAAAGTTCTTCAAAAAGGCAAAGCTAAATGGCTGAGAAGAAATGAATAAGATGGCAGGGAAAGATGGTCCCCAACTTCTTCCCTGACCATAAAACAACAAGCAAAAGCATCAATCCTTCAGCTTTATTGCCTGCAGTTACATTTCTTCGGGAGACTCAAAAGTACTTTCAGCTCAAAAACAGTGTAAACCCTCTCTCTCTCGCTTGTCACACAAGAAGAGCTCTCAATATGTTAAATTCTTCGGTGGACTGCGTTGCTGTAATTCTGCAAAACGAGGAGAAAAAGTGGGCTGTCTTTTGCACACTCCCAGTTTTAAGATTGTTTGCTTGTGAGTCTGTAAACCACATGGGAATATCTAACTTTTTCCTGTTAGCTGTTGCAAGCCATGCATAGAGATGTTGAAAGGACAATGAAAATCACAATCTTTCGAGGACGTGCAGGAAAATAAAAAAATGGGTTCTTGTGCTGTCATAGAAAGAGAGAGATATAGAGACCAAAAGGGCTGGTAACTGAATTTGGTTTGGTAAGCTTGATTAGATTGATTCTGGGTATGGTATGATCTTTTGGGCTGGTGTGTTTGGATGTTTTAAGTAATGATTGCAACCTTGTTCCTTTGGCCTCCTTCAGTTGTCGCCCTCTGGCTCCGTAACTCTGTAGTTTTTTGGGACCTGAAAGGCCCACACTCGCTACTTCATAGGTTAAAGCGTGCATAATCTGAAACATCTCGGCATATAACAAACGTAAAAAATAAAAAAATAAAAAAAAGAGGCCAGCTGCAAAGTCTTATTGCCTTGACCTTGAAGATTAAACTCCATGAACTGGTCCTTCCCACTTAGTTGATTAAAATCACCCAGTAGTTACTGCAGTCTTCTTAACTTGGGAGGTAACTGGTAACAGACATCATGAAGAAGAAAAAGGAACATGGCCCACGCAACAGAGCAACAGACAATCGTAAAGAAGAGAGATGCAGTAATTTAATCTAAACATTATATGTTGGCTTTGACCCAATAGGTGGAGAGTAAAGCCATTTTGTCCTTCTGAGTCCCATTGGCCTATGCAAAGCTTTGCTAGGTTGCCCAGCTATGTCATGTGTACTTCGATTTTTGTCTATCTTCCTCCATTGAAACTCGAAAATTGTGCATTTAGCTCAAAGTCTTCTAACAAATACAATTGGTGTGAAAATACAAACTCAAATTGGATAGACTTCCAAACAATAATTTTCTTACATAATCATGCACTCACATACACACTATTATTTTCCTTTATTACAACACTACACACTTTCTCCCTATAATTCTCTGTACACATCACTCACATCGCACACTTTTGCCCCACAACTTTCACTTTTGTACCTTCACACACTAGGCACAAAGTCACAAGTCACTAAGCACAAAGGGCAAACTTTAACCCAAAAATCAAAAGTAAATGTCAATCATGGTACTTGAGTAGAATGAAATGGAAGATGACGGGACCATAGACAATGGAGAGGGATTCAAAGGAAGATGCAAATTTTAAAACATAACTGTACCAAAAATTTTCAGAACATGATCGAAGCTCAACTCCATTCAGGTTGCAGGTACGAAAAAAAAGGCCAAAAGGAGTTATGGACGAGGAAAAGAGAAAGGATTCAGGGGATTGAATTAATTAGAAAGACGTATGGTCCAAGATCAGAAGCATTGATTTAAAAGGACCACCATTCCAATCAGAGGATACAACATATATGCACCCATCATAGTCAGGCTAATATCATCAGAACATAGCCCACTTGTCATATTAGTATCCGTGACCAGATAGAACAGGCAGCAAAGAGCTGAAACTTTCACATTAATGGCATTTGGTATTGGTGCCATGGTTCCCACGATTTTGTAATTCTGCACAGATATGGCACAATGTCCATGCATACATACTTATCTGTTAATAACACATATTTACACAAATTAAGTTTCCGAAGTTCAATTCATTCTCATTGGCTTATTTACTGGTTATTTCTAATCACATTTATTTCCCAAATAGCATATATCAAATTCATACATGAGAATACTAGTAAAAGAATTCAGCAAACTACAGAAGCTATATCCATCTTTCTTACCGTATCTTTACAGATGTATATGCCTACTGCACCAACCTATTTGTATGTTACAAATTGGCATCAATCATACACCCCTTATCTATATTCTATCATGACAATGATTTGTCTTTGTCATCTACTCAAACATGTAACACATAGAAGCAGCCATCCCAAAGTAACATCTCAAGGCTTGCTTTTTCTGTGTTGGTTTGTAATCGTTTCACGTGTGACCCATCTCCTAACAATTAGGTGTCCCCGTCCATAAACCTTGAGGTGCACATTCTTCAGACTACAAAATCATGTAATATATGGGGATTTCCAAACCTGTCTTGTTGATTACCTGGTTCCATGCAATGAAAGTCCACTGTCTCTGGCCCCACAGAGGAAGCCACCTTGTTGTTACCTCTTATATTGGTCTCTCCAGACATAGGAAAGACATTATTTTCATGATGCCTTAAACCAAGTGCAAGTGACACTTGCCCACCAACTGAAAAACCACTCAATTCTGTTAAATCATACATTGCATCACCAGCCATAAGGGTACCATGACCATGCTGGCTGGATTGGATTCCTGCATCTGGATAAGGGTTATTGCTCTCCATGTTATTCATCTGGCCAACCTGTAATTTCATCCTAGTAGGCGAGCCAGTATCTCCAATAGCAATATTTTGAAACATTGATCTTGCAATAGGCCTGCTCAGTTCTACATCTGGGATATGATCAAGTTGGGTGTGTTGAACTTGTCCTGGTTGAACATTATCAGCATCAGCAGCTTTGGATGTCATACTCTCTTGCAATTCTTCTCCCTTATCCTCGGATGCTGAAGAATTTTCTCTAGTTGCTTTCACTGCGTTTTCTAAGGAAGATTTGAAGTGTGAGTTCATTTCACCAAACTCTTCTTTGTACATCTCCTCAATCATGGGCTTCCAAATACGCACTCTTGCATTGATGAACCAGTTTGCAACCTGCAACAAACAAGCCATTAGCAAAAGTGATTATGAGTGGAAAGAAAAACACAACAAATAGATGAACGACTTATTCAACGTGACAAGTGAGCTGCATACAGGCAGAGGAGTCCCCACATCAGAAAAATAAAAAAACCCAAAAGGTTTGTTCCTTTACTAAATTTGCTGCTAATTAATGATGTATGCTTTTTTTGGTAGGAGTAATAAACTAGGTTTAGATTAACTGGTTAGTCATAGGTTGATACCAAAATTAACCATGCATGTTAATGATATAATAAGTAAACTAGGATACCAATGATTTGCATGTTAATGATATAATAAGTAAACTATGATAATAATGATTTACATGTCAGATAATTGTGTTTCATCTCTTTACCTGGTTTCTACTCAGGCCTGTCTGTTTTGCGAGCATGATTTTCTCTGAATCCTTTGGGTAGCTGGTCAACACCAAATTCAGAAAGGGTTAGTGAACTGAAGTTCTTTGTATTAGCAAGTAAAATAGGTACAATAAGAACCAAGAACACACGGATTGAGAAAATGTTCAAAAAGCCAAGCACGAAGGATTGAAACGGAGCTTTCAGGGAGCCCTCTTTGAGGCCTCCAAGCACTCCGCATCACACCAAGTTGCTGAAGAGCTCTTTGTTGTCTGAGTTGATGATCCACATAGCGGAGCCGAGGTAATGCTCCTCCTAGACTGTTTGGTGAATTATCTTGCTCTCCAAGGCTTCTCTGAGTCAATTCAATTTGGCCAGTGATTGCATCACGCAAACAGCGGAAGTGACGGGAAATTGTCTGTAGGGCAAGTGCAGTGTATGGTTTAGCTGCCCCACAACCAGCTACCATGTCAAAAGAAGAAGCCACAATTTTCATTTGATGGTAATATTGCTTGTACCTTCTATCAACCTATAACAAAAGTATGACTATTAGAAATCTTCCAAAACAAGTATAGCTCAATTAAAATACATATAATATAAGATAGTTCCCAAGATGTGAGACAGAAGAGAATAGTTTAATCAAAGAAAAGCAGTCACCAAGATAAGTGAAAGCTAAATCAAACAAGAAGCCCAACAAAGGCGAGCATTCCAGCCAACAAAATTATTCAAACCAAATAAAAATGAGAAAAAGGAACTGCATGACACAATGGAAGCTTACCTCATCCAGCATGGACAAGAGTTTTGTCTTCTTGTTCTGCAAATCTTGTCGTTCTCGAGGTGATATCTCAGAGGATGAGTTGTTAACTGACTCACTACGTTCTGATGACATCCCATTGGAGCGAGTGCTTTCATTTTTATCCAAATCATGCTGTTTCAAAGCTTTTCGTACATTAATCACTTCATCAAGCAACTCTTGAGCCACCCTGAGATATTTGGAGTTTAAAATAGTACTTGCAAAACCTGACTCAAATTGATATATATCAGAATGTATCTGATTGTGACTTATTGACCCCTGAGGGTTAGATAAAGCATCTGTTTCAAATGCATCATTGTTGCCTGCAGGAAAGCGACATTGCATGGTATCAGAAGTTTTCAACTCTTTACTTCTTTTGCTTTCGTCACTAGCACAAGGAATTGTCCCCTTTCCTGAAAATGGAAGATGGCTGCTAAAGAATGAAGAATAACCCTGGTATTGATACTGAAATGAAGTTACAGAAACTCCAGATGATATCTGCGAGCCAAGGCTTAGAGATAGTCCCTGAGATTGAGAACTCTGTTCATCCAGAACACTCCTCGGTATCGTAGGGGGATTCACTACAACAGGATTGCATATAGAATTGCTTGTTGTAATGTTTAACTGCCCATCAACAGATTGCAAACTCGCCGAGTCACTTGAGGGTGGAATGAATGACATTTCATTTCTACCACCAATAGACGGAACTTGAACACAGTTCTGAACAGACAAAGAAGTCCCAGACAAGATCTCTGAGAATGCCCCAGCAGAAGCAGTTTCGTTCAGATATATTGTTGAGTTACCAGGATGGAAAGATGATCCAAGGTAAGAGACAGGCCTTTTGTCCCCCAGATATGTAGTTGATAAATTGTCTCTTTGATAGTTAAAACTTGGATAATAAGCAGCCATAATTTGCTTCCTTATGTTAAGCAGGAGAGCAATGATAAATCATTACCAGTCTCCACAAATCAAAAGGATTACCAAAAGATGACACCTCCCAATAAAACAGTGACCAGCAAATAGATCCTGATCAAACAAAAACCATAATAACATATATCAGAGATCTTTCAAAATCCCAATTTCTATCAACAATTCAAAGGCAGATCTTTGCATCATTGTTTTTAGCTCATGCAATCTCTAACAAAGAATTTAGGATCCAAAAGAGCAGAAACACCACAACAGCCATGTACAAATGACATGTTGACCCATGGCATGAAAGTGCAGCAACAGCCAACAAGGTCAAGGGCTTAAATTTTTACGTGCCTTTAAGTTTAAACAGAATCAACTGTGAGAATTCCCCAACAAAACAAAACCCAGATCTCTACCAACTATTTGTATTGCATCCAGACACTTCTCCCTCCAAATAGAAAATGCAAAAGCTAAGAAAAATTGTTTAATACTAACAAAAAAAATGCAAAAAGAATAATTACCTAATCACTGCATTAAACCAGAGACCGAGATAACCATAAATATTCTTTCAACAAATCAACAAGTTAACACCAAACATGTAAATTCAGTAAAACCAAAAAACCTTCATCTTTTTTTCTTTTTCTTCTATTTTAAGCTTCAGCCTAATATTTTTTATGAAGACCATTACTTAAGTTCATATTTAGGTAATACTGCGATCTTGCATCAACTCAACTAGCGAAACAGCAAAATCCTATCTAAAGCCTAAATTCAAGTATTCTTCAGAGGAAAAAGGAATCAAGTAATCATAGATACCAAAAGGTAAGCCATAATCATTTAAAGGCAGTAAATCCAGAGGTTTCAAAGGAAAAATAAAAAAATAAAAAAAACCCCAAGAAGTACAACTTTTTCTTTTTGGCTTTTCACTCTCTATCCCGTTTCTTCCTATCATCATCACTATCAGTCTATCACCATCTTCATGAAGGACCCAACTGGTGCTGACAACATAAACATTACAGTCAAACTCAGAGAAACACTTTAATAAACCAACCAAAACAAAAGCATAGTAAACAAAAACCAAATTATCCAATACCCAGAAGAAGCACAAAATTCCATTAAAGAAGAAGCTTTGAAGTTGTCTTCTTTCAGCATCATCAAGTACTCTGGGCACTAAAACTCAACCCCAAAAAATAACAACAACTTTTTTTAAAAACATACAACAGTCTTCAATCAATCAATCATTATTACAACTCACAGAAAACAAAGCAAAGGATGAAGAGAATGGGAAAAAGAAGGTTAAATGTGAAATACCTGAAAGCCCCCCAAAGCCAAGCTGCGCCTCTAGCGGGGAACAGATACAAAGAAGCTGGAAAACAGCATAGCCAAAAACCAATCCCAAAAGATATAATCCCAAACGTAACCAACCTTCTTATCATTGGAACATTGACACCAACCCAAGAAATATTATTAAATAATTCCACTCAATACAAATAAAAAATTATTGATGACAACAACTGTAATATTTTATTCTAACAAATGATGATGATAATAAGAAGAATATTACCAAAAAAAAAACATTTCCCTTAAAACAATCCTTCCAGGCATCTCACGTGTAACCAAAAAAAAACAAAAGGCAGAGCTGTGTTGTTTAGTTTATGGGTTCTTTTATTTTATTTTTTTGACGAAATTCAAAAGTTGTTCGAAGGGCAACATGAAAAAAAAAGGGTGGGTGTTGTTTGATTCATTCATTGCTAAAGAGGGTTCAAAGCTAACTACCAGTTGGTAGACCTATTACCAGCCCTTAAACCTCCTTTTAAAGCATAAAAATGGCGTATTTCCTTTCTTTCTTTTCTCTCTCTCTCTTGTTTTCCAAAGTGTAGGAAACATCTAAAGCCATCTGATTGGCTGATTTATGGGTTTTTTTTTTACTATTAATTAAAATAATAAAATAAAAGGAATTGAAAATGTGATAGGTAGACTAAAAATGTTAGCTGTACTTTGCAGTTGGTGAGAGTGACAAACCCACACGTTATTTCCACGCGTATGCTTCTATACGCTAGCGGCTAACGGCTAACTGAACTATCTTTTTTATTTTGTTTTTATATAATTTTGGTAATTTCTTTTAGTTATTTATTTATTTGGTTGGTGATTGAGTGTTTATATGTCATTTAAGAGCATGAATTATGAGACTCAATCTAATTCTCGACCGACCTTTTTAAAAGGTAAAAATTATGTTTTTTTTACCATAACCTATTTGGTCAAAAAATGAAAAAAAAAAAAAAAACCTACATGTAACATATATATGCCTATAATTTCTTTTTTATTTAATCAAATGTTGGAAGTTAAGACAATTATTTTATACTTTACTAACAAAATACAATGTTTAATTTACATTAACATTTTTTAATTTTTATCAATTGTATAATATAGTAATAAAGTGTTAAACTTTTAATTTAAATGATTAATATTCAATTTTTAACAACCTTAAATGCAAAAAATATGTTTGTTGTTTTTTTTTTTTCCAATAGTGACATTCAAGTATATATTTAAAGCATTAAAGAATTATATATAAATAATTTATTATATGATTTATATATATGTACAACTAGTTTTATATCATGCTTATTGCTTTTAAAGTAAATAATATAATTCTTTATTTTCAATTAAATATCAATATAAAAACTAATGAAAGTAAAATTAAGTATCAAATGAATCTGAAATTTATTTCACTTTATTTATATAATCACTTTTAAAATATAATATATAATAATTTTAAATTTAAATCGTAACACATGTAATTTATTTTTTTGTAATTAGATTACGACATCTTTCATTAAAAAAATAAAATACCTAATAAAATGTTGGACAATATCTTGGTGTATAATTTAAAAATTGTTTACATGAGCATAAAATCATGAAAATATGCAATTGCTTTACAAAAAAAGGAAGTGGGAGATGTGGATGTGGTTGGTCCAACAAAAGGAATAGAATATTTGGCACATATAATGTTTGTATATGTTTTATGTATCTCCTTTTTTTTTTTCAATGGAACCTACTTTTAAATGTAAAAATAACTCCTTTATCATTTCTATGGTATTCTACAAATATCAAACTTAGATTTTTTTATTATTTTTTTAAGAATGGAGATATATGGGGTTATTATAGACAATACCATACAATTATTGGCAATAATAATCCTTCAAATGAGCATATATATTTTTTTCTAATTGCTTAAGTTGAAAAAACTTATTTGGATGAAATCATCAAAAGAATAAAAAAAAAATGATACTTACAACTTGGAATTTTCTCCTTTCTTTTTTTTGGTTTAAAATTGGTATTTGGTAAAATGAGAGGAAAAAAAGAATAAAAATAACCAAATGGGTTGTAATATTTGAGCCCAAAAAACAAAATGAGCTGTATCTCGGCCTGATAAGTTAGCCCAAGCCTGTTAAAAATTGTTCAGTCAGGTTGGGCTTAAAACGATGTCGTAATAATGCTGAATAACTAGCCAACTAAGTCCAACTGAAACGACATCGTGTCGAAACCTAAAATCGGGAAAGAGTGCTTGAAAATTGAAGATTACTCGGAGTAACGGTTTCTTAGACAAAAGCCACTGAAAAATCTAGCAAAAAAAGCTTTACCATGAGCTTATGTTTTTGTTCTCTGATTCGTCCTTCGCCTTCAATTTACGAGTCCAATTTTCGACGGAATTTGAGCCTCAACCACTTAATCCCCCCTCTCAGTTTCTCTGTTTACGGCAATAACAGGAATTGTTTTGCGAGAGTTGTTCAACAAGGATTCGAAGTCGATAACATTTCTTTGCACAGCCCGATAATCGAGGCAGAGGAAGAAAAGGAAGTGGTTCATGAACTCGTTAATGGAGTCGTCGGCGTTGACTTGGAGGAAAATACACCGAAACCGGTAAGGGTTAGGAAGGCGAGAGATGATGATGGTGACGGTGAAAGCTTTGAGGATAGATTCAAGTTACGAAACGGGAAGGAGGTAAAGTTTTTGGATTTATCAGTTCAAATTTTGGTGAATTTTTTTAATAATTAATTGTAAAATTTGAAGGTTTTTGAAGAGAAAGCCTATTTAGTGGGCTTGGAGCGTAAAGGCGAAACTTTGGATTCGTTTGGCATCGAGGAGTCGCTTAAGGAGCTGGCTCAGCTGGCCGACACTGCAGGGCTTATGGTCGTTGGTTCAACTTATCAAAAGTAAGAGTTTTATTTGTTTCGTAGCGAAATCAAATTTCTTTTTTTTTTTTTAATTTTCTAAGCTGACTTTGTTTTTGTTGTATTTTTTTGCTGTGCAGATTAGCTTCTCCCAACCCGAGGACATACATAGGATCAGGAAAAGTTGCAGAAATTAAGAGTGCAATTAGTGCTTTTGGGGTTGAGACTGTAATTTTTGATGATGAGCTCTCACCTGGGTAAGGCTTGTAATAAATTTCTTAGGCTGTGTTTGGTTGGTGCTTTTGCCTTTTTTTAGTTGTCCCTAAAGCAAAAGCGCGAACCTTAGTTTTCACCGTTTATGTAAGAATCTATCTTAGTATCTTGCTCAGAGTGTTTTTTTCAATGGGAAAAAATTCATATGGGATGTCAACTATTTGGACCTTATATGAAATTAATATGAAACCCTCATAATTTAACACGACGCCTTATCTGGTCTATTATCAAATTTCAGGCAATTGCGCAATTTGGAAAAGGCTTTTGGTGGGGATGTTAGAGTTTGTGATAGGACTGCTTTAATCCTGGATATCTTCAATCAGCGAGCAGCAACACATGAAGCAGCTTTACAGGCAAGTTCAGATTGTGCTTAATAATCCTTTTATGAATGAAAAGTGGGTGGTCATAGACATAGCTGATACTTGGATTGAAGTTGGTAAAATCTTTCTGTACTGAAGATAATTTAAAAAAAAAAAATCCATATATTTGTTACTCAAGTTATGGGGCTTTCTAGGTTGCATTGGCACAAAGGGAATACCAATTGCCACGTCTTACTAAAATGTGGACCCACCTTGAGCGTCAAGCTGGAGGCCAGGTGAAGGGTATGGGTGAGAAACAAATTGAAGTGGACAAGCGTATCTTACGTACTCAAGTGAGCAACAAATTTTCCTTTCCTGTTTCTTACAGATAAATTTCTACTGCTGTAGAAACTCAAACTTGTGCAGAGAATGAGATATCTATTTAGTGTCGTTTGGTGCCTTTCTCTAAGTATTTTAGACTCCAAAGATGTTCCCATGTCCTAATTCATGTGCTTTTCTAGATTGGAGTTCTCAAAAAAGAGCTTGAATCTGTCAGAAAACATCGAAAGCAATACAGAAACCATCGATTTTCTGTTCCTGTTCCTGTTGTATCTTTGGTAAGTAAATATCTTGGTTTTTTACTTTTAAATACAAGGACAATTTTCTTTTGTTGGTTATGTCACTGGACATGTAATCTACTTGAAAACATTATAGGTTGGGTACACGAATGCTGGCAAGAGTACACTTTTAAATCAATTGACCGGAGCTAATGTTCTTTCTGAGGACCGACTCTTTGCAACCCTTGATCCAACAACAAGAAGAGTTCAGGTCAGTAAAATAAGTTTGGAAACCTATTGCTACACCTTGCTTTCAAGCTAATCTGTTCTTTATGCAATTGAATAGTTAGAGAAGGAGATTAAATTAGAACAAAGTTGAACTGGCAATAGCTAGAAGTTTTCTCAATCTCAACACTTACCATTTCCATGAAGCATTCTTGATGCTTCTCTTCTCAATGAATGCTTTTGTGTTCTCAAATCTAGAGCAGAAGGCAACTTCATTTTGTTAGAAAAGAATTAAAAGCTTGAAAAAGTCATGTAGCATGATTTAGATCTAAGTATGTTAGTTCCATACTGTGTCCAAATACATGCTTCCTGAACCAAATCTGCTTATTGGTATCTGGGATTGAAATGAGTTTGTGCAGTTTTATTTATGATCGTCGTTGGTAACATGTGATAATTGTTTCTGTTGTGTACTGTCCAGATGAAAAATGGAAGTGAATTTCTTCTCACAGACACTGTTGGTTTCATCCAAAAGTTGCCAACAACCTTGGTAATGCTTTTCACATTTTGGAGAAGTGTATGGTAGGAGAAACTCCTTTGATGTGTTGTGTCAAAGAGAATGCCTGCTGATTTTGAACTACTTCAAGGGCAATTAATTCTTTTTGAAAGATGTTTCCATTGAATCTTAATACCAAATTCTATATTCAGTGGATCATGTCAGCTCTTTTTAATGATTGCTTCATGTAGGTTGCTGCATTCAGAGCAACATTGGAGGAGATCTCAGAGTCTTCTCTTTTAGTGCATGTGGTGGACATCAGGTATAATATTCTCAAGGCATGGGCTATGTTTAGGCTTTTTTTTAACTAAAATTTATCAACTTACAATGCTTCCTGTGAACTTCAGTCATCCCCTAGCAGAGGAGCAGATAGATGCTGTGGAAAAAGTTCTTTCAGAACTAGATGTGTCTGCAATTACAAAGTTAATGGCCTGGAACAAGGTAATAGAGATATTCTCTGTCACTAAGTTATTAAGAAATAAGAATTGGAACATGCGAAAGAAACAATTTGAACTGTTTTCTTCATTGTATTTGTGATTTGTATAATTTGACTTTAACTTGATATATCCTCAATACATCTGCATGAAAAGTTATGTTTGTTTTTTTGCCTAACCCCATGTGGTGCCTGCAGTCTATTTTACCTCAGTATGCTCATACTATTTGTTTCTGAATAGATTTATTTTTCCCTTTTTTTTTTGTTTTAAAATTGATAAGTAACTTTTACAGGCAGTTTTTTACTTTCACTGCTAAAGTATTTATGGTGATTATCTCATGTGTTCGGTATTTTGTATCCTGCTTTATGAACCATGAATTGGAAAGGATTCAGTTTGCTTACTTTACACTTGCTTCGATGATTAATTATTGTAGGACTTATTAGTAATGTTGATGGTAGATATCTATATAACGATGTGCATTTTCCCAAATTTCCATTTCTTGCAACATGAACTGGGGTTTAACAATCTCTGAACGCTGCTCGTTATGGCAGGTCGATAGGGTTAGTGATCCGCAAAAAATCAAGTTGGAAGCAGAGAGAAGAGAAGATGTTGTTTGTATATCTGCTTTGACTGGTGAGGGCTTACAGGAATTCTGCAATGCTGTGCAGGAAAAGTTGAAGGTAATGAATTGATATCAAGATTTCAGTGTCCCTGATACATAAATGTAGTTGATTCTGTCAATTCCTGAATCTGGACTCTGGTTTACTTAGTGAGAAATGTTCTTTGGAATAGGATTCTATGGTTCAAGTGGAAGCCTTAGTTCCCTTTGACAAAGGGGAGCTTCTCAGTGCCATACATCAGTTTGGAATGGTGGAGAAAACTGTAAGTATTAGCCAAATTTAAACTAAACTAGTTTTCATTCATGCAAAGAGAATTATTGGTGCTTGTTGTTTATATCTTTCCCTCATTTTGCAGGAATATACTGACAATGGGACATTGGTCAAGGCATTTGTCCCTCTTCGTTTCGCAAGGCTGCTTACCCCAATGAGGCAGTTCTGTAAATCATAACTTCAACTTTCTCGAATATATCATGACCTTTTTAATACTTCCTGCCGGTAAATGATTCATCGACATGTATTAATTGACCAAAAAGCAATTAACTTAAACGAGTTTTTAAGGGGCAAAAAAATAGGGAGAGAGCAGTGATTGCTTAGTAAAGCATTGCCCAAAGACCAGTGTATATAGAGTACAAAGGTATGTATTTTTGTATCCTTGAAGATGAAACAGACCTTGACAGCCAAAAAATTCTACTACTTTTCCAGAAAACAATTTCAAATTTCTGTGTAAATTTGAGATGCCCGATTGCTAGCACTAAAACCACTAGAGTAATTAGATTGTTAATGAACCGTGAAACAGGCCTTGATTGTTCAATGTTTCTCGTTGAATTCATTGATACCGCCTACCAGGTCTCTTAGTTGATACACCTTTGCGATGTTTGTTTCTAGACGACTATCGGGTGTTGTGTTCAAATCTCATTTAAATTGAAAAGAGATTGGGTTTTGGAAAGGAGCAATTGATTTGATCCTAGCTATAAGCTATGAAGGCAAAAAACCGGAAGCACTGCCTCCACTCAGCTTTTTGTCGCTTACAATTCGAGTGACAAAAAGAAGCGTCAAGACAAGTTGACGCGGTCGTGGCTATCTAAAGCAGGTATTTTTCTAGAGTATTTGGTGAGGAGAGCAGTTGATTTTAATCGCTACAACGAATGTAAATCTATGGCCAACCAATGAATATGCATCAATAAGACTTATTTCAAATTATCAATGGCTTTCTCAAAAATTGCTTTGGTTTTCCTAGTAACAGCTTTACTCTCAGCCACAGTCTCCCTGGCTTACCCTGGTTTGGGTTTTGGCCGGAGGGCCATTGGTGCGCCAGGTGGTTAATTTGGTGCACCCTCATGTGGCCTTTACCCGCAGTTCTATCAGTTTTCATGCCCTCAAGCTGAGGATATTGTTATGTCAGTGCTGGAGAAGGCCATTGCAAAAGAGCCTAGGATGGCTGCCTCCTTGCTAAGGCTTCATTTCCACGATTGTTTTGTGCAGGTTACTTGTTTTTCGACTCTTCATTTACGACTGCATATGCAAACAGAAATATTTGCTTGCAGAACCTAGTTTGATATGAGATAGAATCCATCATACACAGAGGAATGGACATTTAAATATATATATATATATATATATATATGTGACTCGTAAATGTATTTCAAGTTTTCAGCTGCTATTTCTTCTTCCAGGTCTGCGATGCATCTGTATTGTTGGACAACAGTGCGACTATAGTTAGTGAAAAGAATTCATTACCAAACAGGAACTCCATTAGAGGATTTGAAGTGATTGATGAGATCAAAGCTAAGCTAGAAGAAGCATGTCCTCAAACAGTTTCTTGCGCTGACATACTTGCCATGGCTGCTCGTGGCTCCACTATATTGGTAAGCTTGCAACAAGCTCCAGGGTACTCAGAAGGCTGATTCAGCATTATTTTTGTTTTAGCACTGTTTTGCTAAGATTAGTGCCTATGTCGAAACAGAGCGGTGGACCATTTTGGGAGCTTCCACTTGGAAGGAGGGACTCAAAGACGGCTAGCCTTAGCACCTCAAACAAGAATATCCCATCACCAAATTCTACTCTTCAGAACCTGATAACACTTTTCCAACGACAAGGTCTTGATGAAGTAGACCTCGTCGAACTATCAGGTCAATCATTTTCGACATTTTCAGATACAAAATCGTCTTACCTCAACGGCTTTATTCATTTGAATAAGGAAAAATATTTCAGGAGGACATACCATTGGGGTAGCAAGGTGTGTGACATTCAAGCAGAGGCTATACAACCAAAATGGAAAAAACTTGCCAGACGAGACATTAGAAAAAACCTACTATTATGGCTTGAAATCAGTGTGTCCCAAGTCTGGTGGTGACAACAACATCTCACCTTTGGATTTTGGATCCCCAGTAAAATTTGACAACCTCTACTTCAAGCTTATCTTGTGGGGAAAAGGACTACTCAATTAGGATGAAGTGCTTTTGACAAGGAATGTTGGAAATACTATGGAATTGGTTAAAGCGTATGTAGAAGATGAGAACCTCTTTATTGAACAATTTGCTAAATCAATGATTAAGATGGGGAGCATTAGTCCCCTAACTGGATTTAATGGGGAAGTTAGGAAGAATTGTCGCTTAGTTAACTAGGAAAGGAACTATGGTGTCTGATTATTTATGTTGGAGAGTTAATTAATTATGTCCTTTACAATTCTAAACCTTAAATTCTAAGCCCTTAAAAAAAAAAAACCAATGTATAATTTGTAATGTTTTAAGAATGAAACAAAGTTTATTTTTGTCACCCAGCAATCCATCTAATTGTAGGAGTAAGATTCATTTACTCATCCAATTTTTCTTGCGCATCTTTTGGGTAATTTTTCACTTCTAGAAAATTGAAAGAAAGCAGTTGGGCTTTGGCATCCAACGCACAAGGAGTTGGATAGCCCAATAAACTGGACAATAAAAAGGCCCAAAGCCCAAATGTAAAGCCTGAAAATTTTCACTTGGAGCGAGCCGAGCGGGGCGCGTCGTTTTCAACGTCTTCTTCAGCCAGTGAAGCAAATTTACATACAGTTATAGATCGAACGCGGTAGCGAATTGGCGAAGCTAGCAATATTAGAGAGAATGGGAAAGCAATCAAGCGCATCGGTTACGACCCAGCCAAGAAAGACATGGCCCTTGACGATTCTATTACTCCTCACTCTGTCAACAGCCATGGCCTTCCTCATCATATCCACCTTCGATTCTTGCACCACCAGTTCTAGGAACAATGTGGGTCATTACATCCAAGAAAGGCAAAAAGAAAAAGAAGAACAATGGAGCATCGACAATCAAGTTAACCGCAATGATCAAGCACCGAGTCCGAACCCTCTCGATTTCATGAAATCAAAACTCGTTCTTTTAGTCTCTCACGAACTTACCCTTTCCGGTGGACCGTTATTGTTAATGGAACTGGCATTTCTGTTAAGAGAGGTTGGCGTCCAGGTTGTCTGGGTAACTAACCAGAAACCAAACCAACCTGATGACGTCATGTACAGTTTGGAACATAAGATGTTGGATCGAGGAGTTCAGGTAGTTTTTTATTTTGGGTTTCTTTAGTTTTCTTCTTTTCTTTAATGCAATTGCTGTTCTATGTTCTAATTGTTGGGTTTTTACTACTCTTGTCAGGTTTTCTCTGCCAAAGGTCAAGAAGCTGTAAATACTGCTCTTAAGGCTGATTTGGTAATTTTGAATACTGCAGTTGCTGGAAAGTGGTTGGATGCTGTTCTTAAAGACGATGTTGCTTATGTTCTTCCAAAAGTTCTGTGGTGGATTCATGAAATGCGAGGACATTATTTCAAACTAGAGTATGTTGAGCACCTCCCGTTTGTTGCAGGTGCCATGATTGATTCACATACCACGGCATATTACTGGAAAAACAGGACCCACGACCGATTAGGGTACTGCTTTTTATATCTATAAGTTTTCGGGTTTTATTGTATGCAAATGCTAATATATATGAAGATCGATTGCTTGGCTTAGCTAGACTTAAAATGCTGGTGGTTGTTATATCATATATAATTGTAGGATTTACGTACACTTTTTGATTCTATTGTTAAAATCTCTATTTCACTTATTTTTTACTGTTTTTGGTTGTGTGTCCTAATTTTACAATTTTCTTTACAGGATTAAAATGCCTGAAACATATGTTGTGCACTTAGGAAATAGTGAGGAACTAATGGAAGTGGCTGAAAATCGTGTTGCCAAAAGGGTTCTTCGTGAGCATGTTCGTGAATCTCTTGGAGTGCGAAATGAAGATCTGGTCTTTGCTCTTATAAATAGTATGTGCTCCTTGAATGCATAATGAATAAAAGACATGCTATAGTGATTCGATGGTGGATAGCTAGTGAATGTGTCTGATCTGAATCCAAGTTGATATCCTAGTTGTGGTTCAAAGTGGTAATTGTTGCCTGTCTGAGAATTGGTTGTGTGGATGATTTTAATATCTGATGCTCTTCTTCCCACATAGAACTGGTAGCAACTTTGGCCCGTGAGTCCACAGCCTATTAATTATTCCATCATTCAGTTTGCATCATAGGTCTAGGAATTTAATAATTCACAATGAGGTTCTTCACAGACATTCTAGCATGAATAAGACTATTCTTGATATGATTAGAGGATATCCCATGGTTAGTTGCTGTTTATGTTTTAAAGTCTCTGGTCAATTGCCAGTTTCTTCCTCCTTCAATCACCTGTTGCTTTTGTTTGTATTCTTCCACAAAGCTCTACAATTCAATCATTGCAGAATGTTGCCTGTTGCCATTATAGTTAATGTTCCTCTGTTATGCTTCAATACTGATTGAGCATCTTCTGAGCGCCAAGCACTGTACTGTTGCAGGTGTTTCCCGTGGAAAGGGTCAGGATCTATTTCTTCGTTCATTTCATGAAAGTTTGCAGATGATCCAGGAGAGAAAACTACAGCTGCCATCAATTCATGCAGTGATAGTAGGAAGTGACATGAGTGCTCAGACAAAGTTTGAAACAGAACTGCGTAACTTTGTTTCGGAGAAGAATATTCAGGATCGAGTGCACTTTGTTAATAAAACCCTGACTGTAGCTCCCTATCTGGCATCTATTGATGTTCTCGTTCAAAATTCTCAGGTATTCTCTGAATAACTATGTTGTTTATTTGTGTACAAGCAGTACTAATTGTTGCACCATTAAATCATGTTATGTAATATAGCTTTTGGTTGTTTTCCCATTTCATGAAATCTCTATCAATTCTGTCTTGCTTTTGCTTTACTGCCAAAGCTTACAAGTTGTCATCACATTTAGGCCCGGGGAGAGTGTTTTGGAAGGATAACAATAGAAGCTATGGCCTTTCAGCTCCCTGTACTGGTATGCGTTGTATTATTTAGTAGAAATTATTTTTCTCAATCTACCATTTTTCACTGAGCAATGTATTCAATTTTTTCAATGGTTGACTATTATATTATTTAGGGCACTGCAGCCGGTGGCACCATGGAGATAGTGGTGAATGGGACAACAGGCTTGTTGCATCCGGTTGGCAAAGAAGGCGTGACACCCCTCGCCAAAAACATTTTGCAACTGGCTGCAAATGCAGAGAAGAGGCTGACGATGGGGAAGAAAGGGTATGAAAGGGTAAAAGAAAGGTTTTTAGAGCATCACATGTCTGAGAGAATTGCTTTGGTTCTAAAGGAAGTGCTGCAAAAAGCAAAGCGCCACTCTCATTCTTAAAATTTGCAGTAGTTTCGGTGCCTTTACCATTATCCAGTAGAAAAATTTGTCATATGCTGTTTTTGCCAGGCATCTGATGACTAAACTTCATTTTAAAATCAATTTGTATATCATGTAGCCGAAAAAGTGCTGTAGATATTCATGTTATAGTGCCATTTTTCATTCTTTTTTACTTCTAAATTTGTAATTTGGACTCTTGTGAGGAAAAATTAGATTATTCTTTTTCAAAATTAAAAAAAAAAAAAAATCCTGTGGTCCTTAAGTGGGTCCAAATTTCCAAATCAAATGTTATCAATGGTTGATGTGTCAATAATCTTTTTCTTTTTGTTTCCTGGAATGGGAAGAAAATTTAATGTGGACCGTTAATATTAGCCTAAAATCTAGTTTTTTTTTAATTTTATAACGCATTTATTATAGATATTTTGAAGTTTTGTTTTACAGTATAATTGTTTTTCTGGTTTAGTTTAAATGCATCCCTTGATGCATAAACTCTTGTTATAATTAATTATAATTGAGTTAATGTCATAAATAATTTTTAAATTATAATAAAATTTTTAACATGATATATGATTTTTAAAAATTTTTATTTGAATTATGAATTTATTATATAATATGATTCTCATTTTTAATACGATCAATTTCAAAAAATAATTAATGATGAATTAATAATTTTTCAAACATTATATTAATTAATAATTAATATTTTATATATTATATTAAAATTTTTTAATTTAAATATTAAATTTAATATTTTATTATAATTTAAGAATAATTAGTATCTTTGACCGATAATTAATTAGTGTAGTTTTTCTTTTTCCTTTTGGGTGCAGATAAATTTTTTTTTTACTTTTTTATTATAAAAGGAAGAAGGAATATTTAGCACAGTCGGCTTTAAAATTGGTATACTCGCGGAGATCACAAGTGGTCCCAGCTCGCACAACCCCTCACTCAAGAAACCTCGGAAGAGCCCAAAGGTAAAGCTGTGTTCAAACTCAAACCATTTCGATCTCTGATCAGAGATTGTGACAATGAGTGAAGGAGAAGACGCCGTACGACGCCGTAATGCGATTGCGGAGTACCGCAAGAAACTCTTTCAACACAAAGATTATGAATCCAGGGTTCGAACAGGTCTCCTCCCATCCTCTAACTCTAATCTGCGACCACTTTCTCCTTTCCTCGACCTGATTTTAATTTTAAATTTGAATTATTGTTTCGCCGTTTGCCGATTTTTAGGGTTTGCTTTTCCGTCGGTTCTATCTACTGCTTTGTTTTGCTTTAAGTGATTTACAAATATGCTGCTTTGATTGCTCGACTAGGTTAAAATTGGGGAGAAAAGCTTTAAGCTTTGATTGCTGGGGTTGTTTATTTTTTCGATTTCAATTGAAATTATGCTTTTTAGTGTCTTCGACTTGGTCTGGTAATTGGCTTTTGTTTTTACTTTTGTTGATGATGGAATTAAATTTTTGGGCATTTGAGAAAATAAAAAAGGAAGAAGAAACAAAATAAAAGAATGTATGTGGCTTTGGCTATCATATTGTGAAGTAGTTGTTCACATCTTTATGTTTCTGATTATTGTAGCGCATATGTAAGATGGTTTTTGACATGTAGTTATACTCATGAATGCTCAGGTAAGGAGAATCTGAGAGCTGCTAAGAAGGAATTCAATAAAACAGAAGATGATTTGAAGTCTCTTCAGAGTGTCGGACAGATTATTGGAGAAGTTCTCAGGCCTCTTGATAATGAACGCTGTAAGTCTGTAACTACTCCTTCTCCGCCCTTGTTTTAATGTCGATGTTTGTACATTAGTCCAAGTGGCTTAACATCTTCCATACTTGCATTACAAGCTTTACACTTCATTTATTTGTTCTTTTTACACATTGTGTGGCATCTGAGTAGTTGTACTTGAATTTTAAGTTATTTGTTGATTCCTTTTTATTGGGAACTGATAATAACTATAAAATTGAATGTCTATATGATGTTTCAGTGATTGTTAAAGCAAGCAGTGGTCCTCGCTATGTGGTTGGTTGCCGTAGCAAAGTTGATAAGGAGAAACTGACTTCAGGAACTAGAGTGGTTCTTGATATGACGACACTTACAATCATGCGGGCTCTTCCACGTGAAGTAAGTTATTATAATCCAAATTAGTTCAGCTGTATTTATTATATAGAAGCAAGTTTTTGCTGATGTCTGATATCATGGTACATTTTTGGATGATAGGTTGATCCAGTTGTTTACAGCATGTTGCATGAAGATCCTGGTAATGTTAGCTACTCTGCTGTTGGTGGTTTATCTGATCAAATTCGAGAACTGAGGGAATCTATTGAGCTCCCTCTCATGAATCCTGAGCTTTTTCTTAGAGTTGGGATTAAACCTCCCAAGGTGATTATTCCTTCCTTGCCTCCCCCACCCCTTCTGTGTCTTCCCGAGTTTCAAAGGGTGTGCTTGCATGTATCGTTGATGGGTGAAGCATGCTCTGGTAGGGTGATGTTTGGTTGAAAATGATCTGAACTTTCTCGTCTTCATTGCAGGGTGTCCTCCTTTATGGCCCTCCTGGTACAGGCAAGACATTGTTAGCCAGAGCAATAGCAAGTAATATTGATGCTAACTTCTTAAAGGTCAGTCTTTTACACCATGTGCCTTACCTTTGTGGTTTTCTGTGTCCTGTTATCTTGTCCTTGAATGAATGAATGCATTTTACCTTCTGCTTATCATTATCAGGTTGTGTCGAGTGCAATAATTGACAAATACATTGGAGAAAGTGCAAGGCTGATAAGAGAAATGTTCGGATATGCACGGGATCACCAAGTGAGAGCCTCTAGTTATGAATGTTTTCTTTTTGTGTTTCTTTATATCCTTTAATATCATTCTTATGTTTGTTTCTTTTTATTCAGCCATGCATCATCTTTATGGATGAGATTGATGCCATCGGTGGACGCCGTTTCAGTGAGGGGACAAGTGCTGACCGTGAAATACAGAGAACACTTATGGAGTTACTTAATCAGCTTGATGGATTTGATCAGCTTGGGAAGGTACATTATTTTGTTCATGTACATGGTTCAAGATTATGATTTAAAGCAAACATTCTTGCACTTTCAATTGCATCCTTACAGGCCATAGTTTTTGTTATTTATGTTTCCTTAATAGTTTTCCTCACAACGCTGGTGAAGAGTGGGGTATTCTGGGAGCTTGTTTACTCTGATTGTAATCTTCTAAATGCCTTCAAATGCTGCTTTATTGAGTTAGGTTCCCATTCCACTTGACTACTGCAGCATCATAACCTCTCTTTGGTATGGTCCCTCAAAAAAAGGCCAACCTGTTAATATCATGAAGTGCATGACTGGTGGCTTTAACTATATGTATTTTAATTTATTGCATTTCCATGGTCTGGAACTCAAATTTCTCTCAATCCAGATTGCTGCCCAGTACAGGATTTGCTTTTACTTTCTCCTAAGTTTGTAAAGATCATTATCAAGTAAAATTGTTTCATGTAGGTTAAAATGATCATGGCTACAAACCGACCTGATGTTCTTGACCCTGCACTTCTTCGTCCTGGGCGGTTAGACAGAAAGATAGAGATTCCATTGCCAAATGAGCAATCAAGAATGGAAATCCTGAAGATTCATGCTGCCGGCATAGCCAAGCATGGTGAAATTGACTATGAAGCTGTTGTTAAACTTGCTGAGGTTAGTTGAAGGTGGCTTATTTCTGTATCATCCCTGTAATCCTCATTACTAATACAGTTTTTTGTCTCCATTGCTTTAGGGCTTTAATGGTGCTGATCTACGAAATGTTTGTACTGAGGCTGGAATGTCAGCAATTCGTGCAGAACGTGATTATGTCATTCACGAAGATTTCATGAAGGTAGAATCTTGAAACTTGAAAGACTGTTTTTTTTATCCGACTTATGTGCATGAGAACTTTCGGGAATGATGAATTTTCTATTATTTTCCCATAATTATTGGGAAAAACAAAGTTGGACAACTTATCCTTGTCTACTTGGCATACCATGTGGCATTTTTGAAACTTCAATTGCCACCCAATTTAGCTCTCCAATTCACCTTGTACCTTCTATCTTTAATTTACTTACACATGAGATAATTAAACAAAATTAGGTGAATATTTAAATTTAATCACTTGGTATCAAGCAAAATTTACCAATTACCATAATTAATTAAGTACCACAATAATTTATTAAAAATAGATTTATCAACTACCCGTGATGATGTGCTCACTTTGGTGAATTTCAGGCAGTAAGAAAATTGAATGAAGCCAAGAAACTGGAATCTAGTGCACACTACAGTGCTGATTTTGGGAAAGACTAGAGCTTTTCTGTTCTTCATGAAGCCAAGGGAACTGGGCAGTGCAGTATATCCTCGATGTTGCTAATTTGCTGAAGTCAAATGCTTGCTTTATTCATCAACGTGTTCAAGAAATCCGGAATGATGTATTTTAAATATTACAGCTCTCATGGCCAAAGGGTTGCACGCAATGTTGGCAAAATTACAGCTGGTACCCTCGAGTCAATTGTATTACGGAGCCTTTGCATGTTATAGGAAATTGAATTATTTCACTAGGGATTATATTATAATTTTTAGATTTAGTTTGGATGTTATATTTCTATTTCATTTCAAAATTTCAACCACCACCAGTGGCTCTTTATTTCGATGGTATTGTAGGTGTCACTTGTCTCTCTACTTTGATAAGAGAGTTAAGATGATCTGATAGCTGGCTTTCCCATCTCCATTGATCGATTCGATCGATGGTATGAAGGGTGAACTAATCGGTGGGACACCGAGGATGGCTGAATTGGTTAATCGTGCTTCCCTCAAGAGCTGCATTGAATGGGGTTGGCGACCAACTTATGGTGCTCATTCAATCTACGTGTAGTTGAGGCCATTGTTTCAAGTTGTTAAAATTCACATTTATGGAGATTTTCCTCTCCGTTTTAAATCTGGCCGGAAAAGTGGGAATTAACTTCTTGTGTGCCACTGGCTACTGGGTACACAATGGATTTTTTTCCCCTTTTCATGCTAATAGATAGGTAAAGGAAACAAACTATTTATTGGTAAACCTATGTTTTTTCAACAGTACAAACAAGATAAAATGTCGCTGATCACTAACATAATTCTTAATAATGGGATTTTAAAAGTTATATTTATTACACATCAAGGTGCGCATATTTATGCAGCATATTCAACACAATCATTTATCATTGGCCAAAAAAAATAAAAGCACACAATCATTTACCATTCCATTCCATCCTAGTAAAACTGGCTTTGTCCAATTTTCCTGTATGCAGGTTGGTCTAGAAATCACCTACTTCCTTTTAGTAAGCTTGTATTTCACCATCTTTACAATCTTGTAGAACCAGAAAGCACTGACCAACTGCATACCCAAGGCCATTGCCTGAGTAACACAGAGATAGGGGTGGTCAGTTAATTCATACTTATTGATTGATTGAATTAGTAAGAAGTTGTTAAGTCACAATTAATACCTTGATTAGAATTGGATTGTCAGCAGTTAGAGTCACGAAAGTGAGATAGGGTCCACCCACCATTCTTGCTACCGAGAATATCACACCAAATGTGATCTGCTCAAAACCCATCAACCAGTTGAACAATTTAATATTATTTAAAAACCTGAAAAGACAGCTCTCTGTACAACTAAATGTTAATGAATAAAAAATTATTGCCATTCACGTTAGATCCGTATGCTGATCTAAAGCCAAAAAGGAAAACAAATTGAGTCTGAAGAGTTTGGAAACTGACATCGGCTGCCATGTTGAGGTCGGTGTCCTTGTAACCGACTTCTTTAAGGAGTTCCCTGGCATGAAGGAAAGGACTTGAGATCTCTGTTAAGAATACTGCAGCAACCTGCTCTGATACACACTGCAAAAAACTGACGCATGTGATTGGTTTTGCTGGAGAATCACGTCGAAAACATGGATGGATTGACAGAGATTAGTCCTCTAGTATTATTTACGAACTTAGGATTTTGATTTCATCGAATGAACTTGGAAAAGAAAAAAGTTAAGGAAATCGAGGAACACCCAGAAAAGTTTTCAGACAAAGAAACACAAACACCAAATATAAAGATGAACACCTTTTGATAGGCAAGGCCTGCTCCAAGACCAACGATGCTGACCAAGTGGTGAATTGTGTTGTCAAGACTGAATCGCTCGTCAAAGAGACAGCATATCAGGTCATATATAAGATAAGCAACGGTAACAGCCAAAGTTTGCCTCTGCTCGAAACTCAGAACCAATTCCATCATTTTATAAGCTCTGATAAATAGAATAAGAATTCAAAATGATCTTTCAAAGACAAGATATCAAGAACCTGCTTGTACATACCTGCTTAGGAGAAGAGTCTGAAGCCAAAGGACAAATTGGGCAACTCCAATCTTCAACAGAGAGCGAGGCTAATATTACAGCCATAACTGCATGGATTGTAGAAACAATGCGGTTGCAGAATTTAAAGGAGCGTTTGGAGAAAATTTTTCTGATTAATAGAAAAGCTGTCGTCCATGAGATTACTCCCAATGCAATCAAATTGACAACATCGTCTCCCATGTTATAAACCTTTTCTTTTGCTCCAAACTGAAACTACCCCCAACAAGTTCAGACAAAAAGCCTTCAAAACCTGGACAAGATTTCTGCTTAAAAAATATAGCTTTTTGGAAGTAAATAAAGAACCTAACGGCTAACACCCCCAAGGAGATGCAAATTGACTTTGGCCTCTTCCTGATACATTACATGTTGAAAACAAAAAGGGAAACTTTAGTTTATAGCTTTAATTTTCCAGCAGATGACAACGATATGACCACAAACAATGACCAACGTTGTAAAAGCTATCACCACGCACCCTTCCAGATTAACATTTACTGTAGGTTAGGTTGGTGGCCCAAGTCTCTTTAATTGATTTATAGCTTTTGGATTTAAGGTTTTTCGTTTCAAGACCATGGGATTAATTATTTGTTTTACATAGTAATGTCAACTAATAGAATAGAATGATAGACTTATTATTTATATGGTAATGTTATATATTGATGTGTATTAGCTAGGAAGAAAGTATGAAAAAAAATAGTTAAATTTTTTATTAAATTACACTTCTTAAAATCTATAATTAATCTTTTATTATAAAGTCTAACTTATTTTTACCATAATTATCACTACATAAATCATGCTTTAATACAATTAATAATATTTCAGTTATAAATCTTGCAACATTCAACTTGGTCTAGCCAATTGCAAGCCTTGCATTGCTTAGGATATCATTATTACGATGTTTTACATTGTACTTGATATATTATTAATGACATTAAAGCATTTTTTTTTTTATCAAAGCTTAAAAAAAAAAAAAAAAACCCATATTTTTTTTTTAACGGCGAGCCAATTTTTAATGGAGAGAATTTTGGAACTGGTCGAAGTACCAAATGGTGCGATTTCTGAAGTCTCAACAAATTATGTATGAGAGGGCCATCGTTTTCATTTTTTGCTGCTAACTAAATATAATAAATGTGTTAGTTGGCACTTGCCATGATCTTATATATTATATATAAGATGAATAATAGGAAGAAATAATCTTAAAAACATGAATCCCACTGCTTAAATAATGAATTTAAAAGGTGACACAACAACTACAATAATTTTAGAAGAGGTTTATGCTTATGTATTAAAAGTGTGGAATTTCTGTTAACTTGAAAAAAAAAATAATAATTAGCACTTTAATGTTTCATGTTGATCCTAATGAATCATTATTTTTATATAAAAAAAAAATTCTTAATCATTAGATAAGAGAATAACAAGTTATAAATTCTATTTTCGATAAGACATGTATTTCTATTCCTATAAAATTTATAAATAAAATAATTAATTGTGAGATTACCATTATCCTTTTTAGTGAAGAAAGTTGTATAAATTTGTTAAGATTTGCTCTTATTTTTCTCGACAATTAAATTGAAATTTAGTAATTTTTAACCTAAAATGTAAAGCATATTAAATTAAAGCTTCACCAACATCATATCCCATTTCCTATTGAAGCTAACAAAATAACTAAAGCAAATTGCCTAGTTTTACTGGAAAAACATACTATTAGTATAAATTAATGCTTACAAAAACATTTTAGTCTTGGTCTTAACTCTTATGGATATCTGGTCATAATGTAGTAACAAGTTTCGTGAAGATTTATCTAAAGAAATATTAATGGACTGTCAACTTTTTAAAAAATAAATATGCTCTCCTCTTGTTGGAGTAATATTGTAATTTATTGAATCAATAATAACATAATTTTGTTGATAAAATATTAAATTTTTATAAAAAAATATTATAATATTGTAATAGATTATCGTCTAGATGTATAATTAATATTCTTGAGTTGGTTTGAGATTCCATCGTTTCATTTGTATCTGCGTTGCGTTTTCGGTGCTCGTCCAATAGCCCAAGGCCGGACGATTCATGGATGTTCAAGGAGTTGAGCCCATTAATGGAAGCCAGCGCAAAGCACTCGATCTGTTGTGATTTTCGGGCTCTTGTTTAATTGCTTGGGCCCACCTTAATATAGGAAAGGCTTGAAGCCCATTAATGGATGCTCGCCCAAGCGTACTTTAGTTTGTCTATACTCTATAGTAATCTTTTTGGGCAATAACTTGAGCCCACATAACTTACAGGGAAGTTGTTGAGCATTGCTTTTGCATTTTTTTTATGTCAATTTCTGTAGGCTCAATCTGTTTTGCAGTGATGGACGGGCGCAAGCATCCACCGCTAACAAGAAAAAGATTTAGTTGGAAATTTTTAGATGAATTTTGTGAAATTTTTTATTTAAATTAATTAAATTAAAAATGAAAAGATATTTTTATATAAATCACGGATATAGAATTTTTATAAAATTTAATATTCTTTTAGATGCACATTTTTAATAAAAATTCAACAATATTTTTATATTTAAATAAATATATAAAAAATTTAAATTATAATATAATTTTTAATAATTCTTTTACGTGTTATTAATTTTCACATTTATTGATCTGAAATTTTTATTAAATTATATTTTTAAAAAAATTCACAAATTTCACTTAAAATTTTTAAATTTTCTTATTGCGTCCTCTCTGTACCGCATCTTCGCGTTCGAGATTTTCAAAGGATGAATCCAGTGGAACTCCATTATTCATGGAAACCTCTCGAGGCTGACGTCCATCGCTACACCATTAGCTAATTGCTCTTTCTCTGGCAAGATTAATACTTTTCTTTCACCGTCATAGGAGATATAACTTCGATCGTCTGAGTTATCCCAAAGCTGAATCCTATAATGTGTTGTGTCTGAAACAAAATTAAGAAATGGAATTAACAGATAATAAAAAATATGAATATGGATGAAAATTTTAATGGGTTTAAGAAGTTGGCTTTCTTACTGCTATATAGTAATCTCTCAATGAAACGCCATTAATGAACCACGTTACAGCAAAGAGAATAAAATGGAGAACGACAATGCCAACGTATGGCATGTGTTGCAGTAGCAGAATTTTTCTGTTTAAGTGAATTATGAGTTTGTTTACGGTTGATCATGGCTATAACTGACGTGAATAAGCAAGGATTTGATAAAGAGAGTTTGATATTGACTTTACGAAGAAATAATGAAAGTTTGATATTAGGTCAAAGCCTACACAATAAAATATTTAAAATTAAAAGAAACACATATATAACTAATATCTGTACTTGTTTTGAAAAGGAAATTAAGAGAGGTTAATGACATAAGTTATACAAAGAAGGCCAAAAGCAACAGATCAGAAGCGACGATGGTGGATATTTGAAGACTGCCATTGTCGTGATACGGGGCAGTTTAGAACAGAAGAAAGAACTTGTGTTTGTTTCTTTGCATTAAGCTCCAATATGTAAAGAGCTAACAATTTGATGATGGGATGGCACACATAACTTGCTTTGTTCCTAACTCCTAACCACTATCTTTGTAAGTTGCAACACACAACTTTTGGTCTCGCGTTAAATCATTATCATACCTGAATTATTAAAATGATTAAATTCTATGAAATCGTAACAAATTTTCTTTTCTATTAATTGATCACATTAGAGCATAAATTTTAACCCAAGTTTTTTCTTAAAACTCTATATTTAATACCTAAACACTCAAGTCTTACGGTATTTCGGATTTGCCTGTTTTTGCGGTCATCTGAGAAGAGATTATTATTTTTTCTTCGATCAAATCAGTAATACCCTTGGGTTGGTTGGTTTAATCCTTGAGGTCCGTCATTTCATTTGTATCTGCAGTGGTTTTTGGGCTCTCATCCAATAACCTAAGGCCGAACTATTCATGGTGTTGAATCCATTAATAGAGGCCAGCCCAAGTAACTAGTCATTACCTCTCTGCAAATTCTTTTCCTGATTTCCTTGCTTGCATTAAAGGTGTCTGTAGTCTCTCCCAGCTAAGTCGATTTAATTTGTATTTGAGTAAATGAATCTTCATTGTCAAACAAAAATTAAACTAATTAGTTGTAATTAGTAGAAATAACGTTGCAAAAGCCACACTGTCATGAGATGGATATATGTAAACTGCCAGGACGTTTTCTCTCAGCCAGTCCCCTTCAATTTAACCATCGTTTAAGAAAATTAGCTAGAATCCCAAAGTTTTTAATTTATGCAAATGCGGTTAGCTGTTACAAATCGGAAAGGACGGACCAAGATTTTCAGAATCCGATGTTTATTCTTGGTATGGGTTTTGTCGGACAATTCTTTGCTCAGGAGCTACTCAATGAAGGCTGGTAAGATTTCCTATCCATGGTTTATACGATGGTTTATGAAGCATGCATCATCAGTTCTTTGTCTTTTATTTGTAGGATTGTTTCTGGGACTTGCACAAGCATGAAGAAGAGAAGGGAGCTTGAGAAAAGAGGATTTGATGTTCACCTTTTCGATGCAAATGAGCCAGAGTAAATATTAATGTTATTTATTTTTATCTCCGATTTGTCTTTGGATTGCATATTGAATAGTTTGTGACCAAATAATGTTCTTGGCAATTAATTGCCCAAAGGCTAAAATGTTTGCTTTTATCAAAATTTTTCATATTAATTTTGGCCTTACTTCCTGTTTTATGTTCTATTAGGATCAGTACCTTGAATACATTGAAATGCTATACACATCTTCTTGTCTCAATTCCTCCTGTTGTGGGTCTTGGTGATCCGGTATGCTAAGAATGTTTCCCTTTTTTAAGGTTACATTGCATACTGTATTCGATCAGTTTTCTGCGCATGTATCCTTTTATTTTTGAGGTTTCTAATATGGCATATTTTTTCCTTGTTGATTTTATAGATGCTTCAACATGGAGAACTTTTAAGAACTATGCTGATGGGGGGCAATCTTCAGTGGCTCTCTTATTTGTCATCAACTAGTATGCCTTTGATCATATATCTTGTTTGAATTAATATAGCAATGCTAGTAAGACATAAGTGACTCATTTATGGTAAATGAACAAACACAATGTTTCATCCTTGAAGAAAATCTATGTTAGTCTTTGTCTGCTTAATGTTCAGCCTTGAAACTTGAAAAATAAACTGGACATTTTCGTATGCATAAATTATTCTGCTTTACTTGTCAATAATTAGGCATTCTGGTATCTGTTGGAGAGCTTCCTTGTGTATTTTAGAAGTTCTTGCCTATAATGGGAAAGTGATATTGAAGTAAACAACCCTTGCATCATTTACTCTTTAAAAGTGGTAATAGAATTTGGTACTTTATTTCTAAATTGCTCTTTTGTTTCAAAAAGATATAGCTGACATAGAAATCTTCTGTGATCTGACAGGTGTATATGGAGATTGTGGTGGTGCATATGTTGATGAGGAGTAAGACATTCTTTTCTGGACTAGTGTTTTCGAAATTACTCTCAATCTGGAGTCACTAATTTCTTGCATTATACCATGGTAGTTACCCCGCAAGCCCAACAAATGAGTTGGCTAAATTGAGGTTAGGTGCTGAGCAAGGATGGTTGAATCTTGCCCATGATATTGGGATCACAGCACAAGTATTTCGACTTGGAGGTATCTATGGCCCTGGTAGAAGGTTGTGATTGATAATTTTTGTAACCAGATGTTTGATGTTTGGAATCAATAGTTACCAGTAAAGAATTCAGCTGTTAGGTTCTTCTATCTTGATATGAAGTAGTGATATTTTTACTTCCATGCCTTCACCAGCTCTTTGACCCACCTTGTGATGGTGAATTAGAGATGGGGGATTGAGTAAGGAGTGGGAGAGAACTAGTAGTAGTATCCTAAATCTAAGTTTTGGCCTTCGTAGTACATGTATGAGTAGCTATATAAATTAACTCCACGTTCATATATTAATGCTATGAGCAGCAGTACTGGGTTATTGTCACAATTAATCATCAATACATTTTCTTTGAGCTTTTCAATGTTCACTTTAGGTTATTGTTATGCTCTTGAAGTTTGATCCAAAGGCTTATGAGTGAGTAGTTTATCTGCTGCTTTCCTTTGCAGTGCTGTTGACACAATAATTAAGCAGGAACCTTTATCAGAATCTCAAAAACGGAGAATATCCAAACAATTCACATCCAGAGTTCATGTTGCGGACATTTGTCAAGCACTTAAGGCCAGTATTCACATGCCATCCTCTGGGTATGCTTTAATTATCAGCTGTACTTGGATTTGCTGGTGCATTTTTAACCAAATATATAGCAATAGAAGTCCACATAATCAGGAATTCAGAATATCAGACTGTCTCTACTTGAAGAAGGAAAAAATGCTTCCTAGTTTCAGTTCCTAATTCAAAGTACCCCATCATGCAAAGGCAAATTCATGTTTCTTGAAACTTTTTGTTAGCCTCCACATATCTGGTGTATGCCATCTGGATAATGGCACCAGTCATTAGGTTGTAATGAATCTTATTCGGCAGACTGCCACTTGCATGCTGAAGCTGAAGAAGAAAAAAAATTGATTTGCTCCTTTGAATTTCATTTTTTGCAGGAGAATTTACAATATTGTAGATGATGATCCAGCATCCCGGAAAGAGGTATTTGCTTATGCCTTGGATTTGGTTGAGAAAAAGTGGCCTGCCCTAATCAAGGGAATCACTGCTCCTGAGAGAGCTGAATCATTTTTTCATAAGGCAACTTCAAGAGGTGAGAAACGAGTTTCCAATGCACGTATGAAGAAGGAACTGGCAGTGCAGCTTCTTTATCCAAGTTATAGATCTGGATTGCAAAGCATAATTGACCAGATGGAAATCCTATTGTAGTAATGCTAACCGCTAGGTTCTAAGAAACTTAATCCATAACATTTTTTTTTTTTTTTGTTGAACGATCCATTTTAAAGCAATCGAAATGCGCATTTATGTTCTTGTCGTTTCGTATATACCCAAATTTATTTTGGGTATACAAGATGAAACTTTTAAATAAATGAAACACATGATGTTGGTTGGCATGCTAACCGAAACAGAGAATGTTGATATCTAATGGAAATTCTTTATTGTTTTTGTTGTTTTGATTTAAGGTTGATGCATTCTTGGAGGGTATGATATAACTGAATATTGCTATTTTGTTTAACTAAGCAACTGCTAAATTGAAGTTTAAAAGTTTACAGATAATGGGGCTGGTCGGGAGACATGGTCCTCCATTCTCCGTAAACTCCCGCCAAGACACTACAAGAGCACAGGCCTATTGTGCCGTTAACAGAAGAAATTATGTCCTAAAATATAGCAAAGAAGAATTGCAAAGCCAAAGAAAGTTTCATCGTCATTTTCTCAATCAATTCAATGCTTCATTGAGTTGATCTATCAATGGTTGGAGGTTTAAGTTCCGTTCAGATCAGTCATCCAGAATGGAATGCAGATAGTGAAAGCAGGCAACATTTAGTTATATCTTAAAGTTAGATATCTAACTTGAGAAACTGAGATTTGAATGCATTGGAACTTGGAAGCCTGACTCACAGAGCATACTCTAAGCTTCTCTCTTAATCCCTTTTAAGTAAGGGAAACAGAAGCATATTTACTGACAGTGATAAAACTTTTACGATCAAATGGACTGGCTCCTTACCTCATGCCAGTAAAGGAGGCAACTCAATCTTTTCGATATCTTACCCAAAAACCCTTCTTCCTGGCAGAATCATTCTCAGATAGAGATCTGCCCCACTTAGACCCAATTGAGAAGTGGCGTTTCAAGAAAGGCTTTGCCAAGGAGCTCCTCCGGCTTGAACTGGGTTCCAACTTTGGAGCTTTTCCTTCTCGTTTGGCATTTTGTTGGTGATCAAAATCATCACAACCATCATCAACAAAACTATCTGTAACTCTATTCTTCAATAACTTAAGATGTTTTGCCTTCAATTCTGCTTCAGCTTTCAAAGCTTTTCTAGACATCTTTGAGACCTGCTTTTCTCCAACCATGCATATTGGGCAGGCTGGGTCATATCTGTCCACCTCTGGTGTCATGGTCTCCAAGCATTCAGCATGATAAACATGTCCGCAGACAAGTATAGCAACCGCTGAAATTTCATTGCTGCTCCATGATGATCTCTCAGCCAAAAGCTTTGAGCAAGCCCCGCAAGCTTGCATATCTATGGATGGAGAACATGAGAACCTGCTGCTACAGCCACTTATCTTGCCATAACCAGAACCTAAGTGTTCACTGTCAAAAGACCACCTTTCTCTTTGAGAAGATGCCACAAGCTCTGAAAAAGCGCGCATGGACCATCCATCAGAGGAGCCACCATGAGATCCAGCTGTTAATTCATTGCTACACGTGGAGAGCACAAAAGATGACCTTCCTTCAGACATTGAATAATTATTTGCTGATTTCAAACCCAAGATTCGACTATCAGACACCTGCCTCAATAGCCGGTGCCCAGGTGAACATCGAGCCCTTCCGGATGGGGTTGAGTTGGGAGGAAGTAAATGAGCATGGCTAGACAACATATCTGTTATTGGTGGTGAGAATGATGAAGGTAAACAAAATGAAAGCTTTGGTGTAGATGAATCCACAAAATCTGGTGGTTCTGCCAAATTCTTCATCTGAAAGATAATCAAAAGGGGTAGAGTAAGATAGAGAATCACCAAAAAACACATAAAATCAAACTCACCTTGATATGTCAATTTCAACTAAAGTCAAAAAGCTTGATAAAATCAAACTCACCAAAAAGCTTATTCAACTAAAGTCAATTTCAACTAAATCAAACTTACCTCTATGGAATAATTACTTGCCCTTGATAAGTCTGCATCAAAAACATAAAACAATATCAAACACAGCACAAACAAGTCACAAAAAATAGGAACATACTACAAGGCATATTACTCAGAACTGCATTGGGAGAATAAAGAATAGAGTAAACAATAACAGAATGCATGTAAGTTGTAAATACATAAACATGTCTGTTTTAGGTTTATTCTTATAATTCATGCGATTCTGATTATAAGTACTCAATACCATGCTAACCTGAATATTAAAGGTTAGGCATTATCTGCCTAGTTGTTAGCCTGCAGTTCTTGGGATTAGAAGACCATTAGAGCCTTTTGCATTCATGGACAAAGTTATATAAAATACATAATCTCCAAACAATGAACATAGAACCAAAATTATAGCAAAAATTTCCTAAAACCCCCATGTATAGTCAAGATCTATGAAGCACCGACACAGATGTAATACAAGTATGACAAGAAACGGACATGATGACACGCGAATTTTTAAAAAATAAAGACGCAAGTACAGCAGGACACGGCAATAAATTTTTTTTATATATTTATTATGTTAAAATATTCAAGTAAATAAGTCCTAAAATAATAACTTAGTTTATGTCATTAAATAACTAAATTAAGCCCCGACTTAAAAATTCTTAATTGTAGTAGTTAGAGTTCATTACCCTAAGTATTTATCAAAATAAAAAGTCTTTTGTCAATGGCTCCATTCTTTCTTAATCCATTCTTCATTCATGGCCCACTATAATAAAATAAAAAAAAAGCACAGTACAATAACTAAGGAAAGAAAAAACTGAAGGATTAAAACAAATTGAATTTCTCTATTTGACCGGATATTTCTCCACTCTTCACCTTCACGGCTTCACTGTCTCCTCCATCCTTCATCTTCTTCAACCTTCAACAATGTTAAAATCAGATCTCATCAGCTCCATCATCCCACCATTACTGCCAGCCTTGCACCATTCCACTGCCTCCACTCAGCTCACCACCATCAATGCCAGCCTTGCATCACTACTGTGTTCAAATTCAACTAACAAATTAATAGGTGTGCTTGAATCTAAATATGGAATTCATCAGTTATTCGGCTTTATACTTTAATTGTGGCTGGGTATTCTTCCTCATTCGATTTAATTTCTCTATGGGCTTTACAATTCTCTGTTTTTAGAGAAAATTTTAAGCGCAAACATCTTTCATCCAGTGTCCATGCGTGTCCTTGCTGTGTCAGAGTGTGTGAAGACCATGTCTATTTTCCTTTACATTGCCATGTGTGCTGTGTCCGTGCTTTCTATGTCGAGATGGTGATAGGAAAAGCTCTGCCTAAATTCTATTTCAGTTAGTAAGTAAATTACCTGAAGAGGGGGTCATCACATTCCCACCCATTTCTTCATGGACTGGTGATTTTTGAGAAGTGTGTGTTCCATAGTTCCCAATCTCGAGCGGACTTCCTTCATGAGAAACTCTATCAGAGCCTAATGTCCCTTTTATCTCCATGCTAAAGTTTCTGCTAGCTCCATTAGACAACTGATAAGAAGGCTCTTCAATTTCACCAGCCACACGCCTTTGATTATCCCTGCGGAAGCTCCATGATGGTGAACACGCCACATTTCTATGCATAGTCTCACCTCCAGTTCTGTTTGTAAGGGTCCTGTCTCTTGCAGCAACACAACAAGCCGACCCCATGATCACTCATATACCCCCCCAAAAAGAATTTTATTATGAATTCGCACCACTAATTCAAGCTATGCAAACCTCAAGGCAGAGCACCTCAGAGGATAAACAGCAAGTATTTCCTGTAAAATAAAATTAAAAAAAAAAAACGGTGCGAATTTTAGAATTCATAATTAAAAATCGCAAGGATGAATTGATTGAACAGACAACCGAAACCAATAAAACAAACTCAATAACAATCACTTCAAACTTCAGCTAAACACACTTTAATTCATTTTTTAAGAGCATTTTTAATATTTTACTTTATTTCCCTCACTATTCCAGGACCAAAACCTAGGAACCATCTTACTCAATTAATGAAGCATATTCTCCAAAATTAGAAAAAAAATGTAAATTAAAAAATTCAAGCCACGAATACTTACATAATTAAAGTCTTCCACTACAGGAGAGCATAATTTTATGTTAATTCTATAACTAGAAAAAAGCATAAGAAAAAAATAAAAGCAAAAAAATCAAGCATAGGTTCGAAATATTTACCGTTGCACCAAAAAATCGCTTAAAATTAAAGGAAATGGGGAAACAAGCTTCAACTAGGGCTCAAAAATGGTTACGTATCGTACTTCACTATCTGAACTGATTTTAAGTTTTCAACATCCCAAAAATAGCAACCGTACACATGCAAAAACAATTTTAACATTCAAATTTTTTTAGATTAAAAAAAAGAGAGAGAGAAGAAGAAGAAACTTACAGATTCAATAATTAGGGATTCATGGAGCTGAAGAAGTGAGAAAGAGTGATTTAAACAGCGTCGGAAATTTCGACGGCAGTTAGAGAGGAGATGAAGGGAAGGAAGGCGACGGTCACGACGGAAGCTAGGCAGAGAAAGGATGTGAGAGAGCCAATAGCACGTATGGGGAATTGTGCCACGTCTGTTTGTAGTGCTCTTGTTTTTCCGCTCCCTCCCTCTATTTTGTTTTTTATTTTACTTTTTCTTTTTTCTTTATTTATTTTTCTTAAATTTAAAAAATAAGAATAATAAGGCGGTGTTTCCTTCTCTACTAAGCGGAGTGCGCTCCACGGGTCTCCTTGGCCGTTCTTGTGTCACTAATAATAAAGTGTATACTTTGGTTAATACTTTTAAATTTAAATTAAAAACTTTAAACATTATTTAATTAAAATATTTCACGTTTTTATATTATTAATATCTACGTGCTACCTTTGTAGAAGCATGAGAAATACGTTTATTTTTTCCGGTGTTGAAGAAAAGAAGAAATTAAAAAGATAAAAAGAATGAAGATGAGTCTGACTCGCACCATTTCTTTTCTTTTTTTCTTTCATTTAGTGGGCCCGAGAAATTGTGAACTTTCGACAATGGAAGTTGATAACGACCTTTGACTGAGTTTCAGTTCACATTTTGAATGTATGTTTCTTCCTTTACCCTTCTGTCTTTTTTTTTTTTGGGGGAAATATAATTTCTCCACTAGTAATTATGTATATTATGTTAGATATATATATATATATAATATTTGATTTTAAAAGAAAAAAATTTAAAACCCTGAACAAAAAAATACATTTGTTTATTATAGAATTGAAAATTTTAATTGATATAACGAATCAATGTTATGGATGTAAGCATTATTGAACTATATAATATTTTGTTTAAAAATTTAAAGTTATTTCCTTATGATTTTATTTTTTTTTAAATGCAATATATATAAATGCTATCATTTGGACGTTAAAAACAAAGATTTGATTAATGGGTGTAACTAAAGATTGATCTACATTTAAAAGAAAAAAACAAATAAAGAACAAGAGATGAATTCAATAAAACCTTTTTATTATAACGTTAAAGGTTCAGAGCCAATAAATTTTAGCTTAAAGCCTTCAACTATAAATCGTTTTTGACTTTAGAGCCTTGGTGGTTTAGACTTGTAACACAAGTCAGAAAATTATAAAGGCTGGTCACTAGTATCTAAGCAATAAGATGAATTTTTGTACCTTCCCATTATTATTAGATAGATGTAAAATTTTTCCCACGGTGCTTTTGCTAGGTTTCCAAGTCAAACCATCTTACAAATTACAGAAAAAATATATTTTTATATCTTTAAAACACCCTTATCATAAGTTAAAAAGTAAATGCTAAACATACATTTTTTTTATATAAAAAATCATAATCTAAGAATAAAAAAATTTTAAACTTCAAATTTATCAAAAGTTATTTTTCAAAATGAATTATATAAATTAATTTAACTAAATCTCAGGTTTAATAATAAATATTTATTTTTATTTTATAGTATACACCATTTGGTTGATGTGGACATATATAAAACTACATCACAATATCAGATCATTTTTTTCCTAAAAAAAAGTTCAAAACAATTACCGTAGATTGGGCCAAATGGGCCACCTCAATCCATTAATCAGACTGGACTGCATTTATTCATGGCTAAAGCCCACGTGACAACATTTGTTCTTAAACCTCGCATTTTCTTTTTGCAAATGTTTGCATCGGATTCCGACCCACAAGTAAAACTCAAAAACCTCGCCTCAGGAAGAAGGAACAGAGATGGAATTACTACAATGTGGAAAGTCTGAGAGTAGGCAAAGCTAAAGAGTAGCATTTCAAGCGGCTTCGCTTCATTATTTTCCAATTTAAGGCGAGTTTTCCTCCGCATATTTGCCCCAGACTTTTGTTAAGGAAAATTTTCATTGACTTTGCTCTTTTTTTTTTTTTTTTTGCTGGAATTTTGGTTCTTTCTCCCCTGAGTTTTGTATTGAATTCTTAAAATGGTTACCGAGTTTTAGATTTGACGGTTGAAATGGGTTTTAGCTTGAGTTGTTGGGGTTGATAATTTTAAGCTTGTTGGTTTAAGACCATTCCTTTCAGTTGCTTCAGAGTAAGTTCTGTACAAGTTTTTCTCTTTTCGGTTTTCACAATTACTTGTTACTTGAAATGGAATTTAGATTAATATTATGTTTAAGAAAACATGTTCTTCGTATGGGTACTTTAGAAGAAACATTGGATGTAATTTTAATCACGCAGCGATAGGCATTGTAGGGATATTTCAGGTTAAGAACCAATGATAAAATGTGAACAATATTGAACCAGAGAGACCATTGATTGTTTTGAGCTATGGATTACAGTTTGTGTTAACAAGTGAAGTCCCCATAAACTAATTCTCTGCTTTGTGGGAAGTCTATCAAGATTCAAGAATAACCACCCAAGTAATGATGGCATGTTTAGGAATATGATACTTATGTCTCCTTTAATCTTTACTAGTACAGTATATCGTGTGCAAATAATGATTTGGGAGCAGGAAGATATAATCCATAATATGAAAATTTCATTGTGGTACTTCGTAGTGCCTAATATATTATTGAGTTTCCTGATGTTTACGTTATCCAGGAAACACTGACTTTTTACTTTCCATGTTATTTAATGCTTATTATGTTTAGATCATTTGAATGGGTGGGATAGGATAGTTGCTTTGAGTTTTTATGAGCATTTTCCATTTTAATCCACATATGCTGATAAAATTTTGTACATTGTTTTCATTGGTCTTCATCAAGGTAGATGCCATGATTCTGAATGGATTCACCTCTCCCTCGAGGTCTGTTTCTGTGGGTTCAAGGCTTCCTAAGTTTGTGCCTTGAAGCTCTACCTTTGCTTGCTTTCATCATTTTCCTGCCACATTATTTTAAAGCAGCAGCAGTAGTTCTTCAGGGTCTTATTGGGATTTGAAATCCCAGTCAGTTGCAGGTTTAAGCGATGGCTAACCCTTTTCTTTTAAAGGCTTCATTTGGTACACAAGAGATTAATATTAAATATCAACTGCATGCTTATCAAAAGGCTAAACCTCCATAAGAGTCTCAGCTTTTTTATTTTCCATTCTGTGGTTTTGGATTGATGAAAGTCTCAAGTTGCAACATTTGTTCTTATTTCTCTGACGTATATCTGTTCAATCTTGTAGGTATGCGATTCTTGCACCTTTCTGCTGCAGAAACTCCTTTGTTGAGTGGGGATCAAGGTGGCCTGTCACGTGTTACCCTCATTACCAAGACGTGGCAGATCTAATTTGCTACCTCGAGCATCAAAGGATGTTCCATACAGTTTTCACTATCCTCCAATGACTAAGAAGCCCAGATGGTGGTGGAGAGCTTTAGGATGCCCTTCCCTATTTAATGCCTCTTCATGAGACATGGATGTATGCTGAAGACTTTGAGTTTTTGACCTATCCATTCCTTGGAGCCATTGGAAGTTTGCCAAGCTGGTTCCTCATGGCATTTTTTTTTTGCATATTTGGGTGTGGTGAGGAGGAAAGAATGGCCTCACTTTTCTAGATTTCATGTGGTGATGGCCATGTTATTGGAGACTGCCTTGCAGGTAATTGGGACCGTGAGCCGGTGGATGCCACTTGCAGTCTATTGGGGTAAGTTTGGAATGCACTTTTGGACGGCTGTGGCATTTGCTTACCTCTTTAGTGTTTTGGAGTGCATTCTATGTGCAGTTGCTGGTAGGTATGCTGACATTCCATTTGTATGTAATGCTGCATATATCCAAATTCCATATGATTAAGTGAAAACATATAACAGAAACTTTTCTATATTTCAATAATGTGTTGTTGATTTTGTATTGGAAAATTTTCGAGCAGATATGAATTTTTTAAGTTGAATATTGCCTTGGGTCAGCTTCTGTAATACAGGAATCATTAAGTTTTATCCAGTTTAGGATAACCATCCAAGCACCTTGTCCCTACTTTCCACCCCGCCACCCCCCAAGTGGGCCTTTTTCCCCCTTCTTTGCTTTATTTAATGACGATTGTGTGAATGCCGTTTAGGTTTTGGTTACCATTATTACTATCCTGATTACCCTTTCCGTAATGGTGAATTGATGATCATTTCTGAAAAGTAATGTTTTTGATGCATTTAATCTTAATGTCTGAACGTGTTCTTCTGCCTATTTGCTTGCCATCTAATGGTTCCTAGGTGTTATCATAGTTCAATGTTGGCAAAATACTGCTAACAAAAGTATGTTGTAGATATCAACACATCAGCTCAGTTGAATTCTTTGCTGCCTCAATCCAAAATGAAATGACCCAGTTTTTCAACAACTCAACCCCACTAAACGTTTTTATTAACCTCGGCTAATCATTGACAAAGAAGTTATGGTGGCTTTGTTTCACCTTCCTTCTGAAGTTTCATTGCATGAATAGAATGGAAGTCATACAAGTTGAATCCTTCTTTGGCAGCAGCAACAGGGACGATGTCAGGTTACTGTCCTGAACAATTTCCAATATCGAATCCAAGTCTTTCCTTTCATTTAAAGGAGGGTATATGATTGTCGAGTCAAAACCCATGATCATTTAAAGTGGACCGCTACCATTAATAAGCTTTGATTCTCTGTTCTATTAATTAAAGAAAAAAAAACCCTAAACTCATACGAATATGTGATAATGATTTAAAATGATTCCATGTAACCTAATAAGCTTTCAGTAATGTTTGTCCGAACCCCACTTACAACACTGATGATTTGAGATGATGCAACTCTAACCTACTAATCTTTGGATGAATTAACATTATGTCTCTTTGCACTCAATTATTTTGATTTATATAATTTGTGTAGGTGCGAATGTCATTTTAGTCTTACATCATGTTCTGTCCCTGCTTTTCCATCAAAGGCAAAAAAATAAAATAAAATAAATAAAATAAAATAAATGAACCGATTGCTCATTTATTGTGTTGATTGAACTTGTCTATCATCTTTTTGGCATGGCCATAATCAAATCAAGGGATTAAAATATCTAAAGGGAAATGGAAATGGAAATTCGAAAACAAATTGGAGAGGAATTAAATAAACCATCGAAAGTTGGCAAATTTTTTTTATTTAAAAAAAAGGCCAAACTTGGGATAAGAGAAAAAATTATAGTTTTAAAGTATGAAAATTTAAATTTCAAATTTGATAAATAATAAATGATTGTATAAAATAATTGACTTAAATTTTTATTTAAAAGCTGGCAAATTAATATTATAAAAATCTTTTGAAAAGAGAAGACAATAATTGGGTTTATAAGCATCACTCTTCTTTATAAATATGAGGTCTTATCCTGAATCAGATCGCACCTACTAAAATTGAGTAAAAAAAAAGGAAATTTTTTAATTGTAGATGAATGTAAATGGATAATGCTTGAAGTAATTAAGTCAGATATTCAATTAAAATTGGACCTGCCAATTACTCATATATTTCAGAAGGCAAAATGATTGGAAACAGATGATGTCATTTTGCTTGTAAATGTAGCATGATCGAAATTTTTATGTTACTTTTTGCTGGCCTGTCTTCCTTTTCTTATTTGGAAAAATTTTCCCACCATAGAAAATAAAAAGAACACAAAGTTACCATTGCTTATAACTTGCTTTGAACTTATCACACCTCTGCAACTATCATTCAAGTAACAAATGAAAACCATTTAACAAAAGCAAATGTATGTGACACCATTTTCTTCCAATGGAGCCCTTCTTGTTGATGGTCATGCTTTCATCATCTCTTGGTTATTAACCTAATCCTCTTTCAGCCTTTTTTTTTTTTTTTAAATTCTAGTATGCAATCAAACACGACAGAGCAATAGAAAAGGATGTCAATCGGGTAATGCTTTTAATTCGGGTCAATTTTATCAACTCTAATGCTAATGGCAGATGATATTGTCTCCTTTTGTTACTCTTATAGATATTCATGCCCTGTATAAGAAAATGCATTATCTACCTAAATTCACCCACTTTCTTGCCTGCCTTTGGGTGGCTCCAATTTAATTGGTGTAACCTCCATTAACATTTTCTTGCACTATAAAGCAACAACATTTTCTATTTCTAGGCACAAATGGAATCAATAAATGGAGGGAAAGTAAGCTCTATTTAATTCAAGTTGGCTTCTTTTCAAATCTTTTTGTATTCGTGGTATGTATTGTTTCATTTATGCAGCAAAGGAGGATCTTGTATAAGATTCCATTCTATAAACAGTGTGTGTTTTGTAGGAAGGCAAAGAGAACGAAAATGGATGAAAGAAAAATGAAAAATGTTATAATCACTTCCCTCCTTCAACAAGAAGGAAACAAACTGAGGGCAAAAAATAAAAGAAATTTGTAATATTAACCGGCGTAAATAATATTTAAATAGATTTCAATAATTAATTTAAAACTTAATTTAGTTAATTTAAATAATTATTTTTAAAATAACATTTAAAAGATTTGTTATTCAAATTCTAATATTTACAATATCTTATTACATCTTCAAGCTGCTATAAATATTAATTAATCGGATTTTTTTAAGCAATTAAATTAAGTATTGGTAAGGTATGATGGCATCTCAATTAAACTAATCTAAAGCGGACATGCCAGCCCACATCACTGACCTAAAGGGTCAACTTTAAAAAAGTACAAGTACATGGCCAGTATGCTTAATGTGGATTATTGCTTTAAACAAGTATAATTGGAAGAAACTAATGAATGTTAGAAAAAGAAATTTCTGGGAAATGAAGATTGGTTCAACGCGCGTCACAGTGGAGACACCCCCACGAATCGATGAGCTTCACTTTTTTCTTTCACTTTAACAATGGTGGCTTATTTTTTAGTCAAATTGTTTTGTCTACTTGTCTTTGTTCAATTCTTCTTTTTCCCTTTGCTAATAAACTTGTCATACGAATTGTTTCAAAACCTTCAAAACTCATTACAATTGAAAATATCAAAAGCATTGGATTTTTGTTTATAAAAGATCAAAATTTCAGAAGATATAAAAGTTTTAACACATCCATATAAGCCATAAGTTAGGTGCATGATTATGTTATAGCCCTCGCTTTTTGAATGGGTTTCATAATTCAAACACGAAAATGTTTAATTTTATATGGAAACAAAATTTTTAAAACTTTGGTTAAACATTGTACATTGAATCTCGAGCAAAACAATGGGTGTTTCCTCAAAGTGGCACAAGAATCAACAAACAGAAATTTGATTGGCAATGAAATTCGTTTCTTGGTATTCAGATTTCTTTCCAAGAGTCTATAACAAGGAACAAATTTCATGCAACCCAAGCAAACCGACTCCTTATGTTTAAAGAAATATCATAGAATGAATTACCTAAACTTGCTAATTACTTTATTAATCATTGCTTACATATATGTAGGAATCTTTTTCTTTTTTGTTGAAAGGTTTCCTTCCATATGTTATAATAAAGCGTAGGAACGAAAAAAAGTAATAAGAAACTTGAAACTACAGTTACTATAACATTTGATAGGTCTTCAATTTGTCAGAGTCATATTTATGAATGAATTAACGTACCAAATCGCCATTTTTTTATATATATTTTGAGATTACGAAGATTAAATTATTAAAATTAAAAATTCATCATTCTATTTAATAAAATGCATAATAATTGTTGGCATATACTTATGATTTTAATTAAGGTGTATCAAAGGCAGGACTTTAGTGTTTTGCCTCTTGGAATAAAACGGATCGGCTGAACATGCAACAATTGTGTCAATCAAAGATAACCCTTTTGGCATTAGCAATTATGTGCAAAGAGAGAGAGAAAGAGCAAGAGAATTATTCTCACTTGCATACAAGAAGAGAAGACACCATCAATCATGAAGAATGGGAGGAAGAAGAAGACACCAAACAAGTGAAGGAAATTAATATATACTAATACATAACATGGGTGACCACATAATCCACAACCCTTTCACACCATATTTTATATCTGAAATTCCCATTTACACAAAACTCATAGTTTTATCCCTAGCAAGCAGCTTTTACTTACTAGTTGCCATTTCTCTTACAGTCATCTTTTGCATCATCTTCTAAGGTAGGAATAAGACTAATATTTTACTAAAATATTAATAATAACACCAACATAAAAGAAGGGGAAAAATAATAATTCCCTCTCTTTTTTTTTTCCTCTCCACTCATTGAAGCCCACACGAAAAAAAAAATAACACACCAATAAGTGAATGTAAAGACATCCACAGATTTTGACAATTTTTCAGCCATTTAGAAATGAAGATGGTGATGAGGATGGATCAGTATTGAAAGAAGTCGGCAGAGGCCATGATTGGTTGGTTAAGATAAGGCAAGTTGAAAGGGTTGGTGAAACTGTCAGCGCTTGTTTCAAATGGCTCAGTTTCATACAACCCATTGCTTGCTGTGGGAGGGTTGAGATAATTGAGGATCTCATTTAAAGAATCCAGTCTTTGGCTTAGTTCCATCACCTGAGCCCTCAAAACTGAGTTCTCAGTGTCAATGTTCAAATAGTGCTGGTTGGTGAAGTTGATGCTTGTAAGAATTTGGTTATTATCCTTCCTTAGCTGTGTCACTTCGGCCACTAAATCATCCAAGTGCTTCTGTTTTCTCATCCTGGATCTTCTTGCTGATTCTCTGTTTGATTCCATTCTCTTTCTTTTCCTTTGATCCATCAACTGTCGCAAGTCCTCTTCAGAGCCACAGTTCTGAATCAGAGTGGAACCTGAGGAATTGGAATTTCCACTAGGCGAAGCCATATTATATCTACACCAAAATCACTGCTAAAACTTCAAAAAAGAAATAAAAAAGACTAATATTTCAGGATTAATCTAACCTCCAAGATGACAGGACCCCGACACTAGTGATCTTAAGCTAATCTAGACAGTTATATATTTGACTTATTATTATTATTATATATATATATATATATATTTATAATGAAACGCAAGCAAAAGTTTATTTATGAAAAAACATAGAACCAATAGAGGAAGACAACTGAGAAAGATTGAACAAGATGGGTCCTGCGTCTGAGTGAGGAATTTATCATAAACCCCGATCTGAGGATTTCACTGACAACTGGAGACATGAATCTCAAACATCAACAACAACAACTTATGTCGCATGAAGATTTACAACAGCTATAAAAAAAAAAAAAGAAGAAAAGATAGCTCCTTTGGGAAAAAAAAAAAGAACAGCAAATCTCAGCAAAAACAAGATATTTTCTTTGCTGAAAAATGAAGTTTTTTTTGAGAGTTTGACGCGTTGGGTCTTTGGTGTGGACTCTAACATCCAAAGTTTAACAACCAAAACGCTCCATTGAAGGGCAAAAACCCACCAGAAGGATATGAAAGAAACAGAGGAAACCAGGAAAAACAGAGCTAAAAGAGATAGTGGACCAAAACCAGCAGAGCCTCGGCTCTTTTAAGGGAAAAGGAAAACAAGAAGAGAGCAGAAACAGCCTAAATTCTATATGGGGGAAGAGAGCAAAACTGGAAGAGGTTTTTGAGAGAATTCAGAAGGCAATTTATAGATTAAAAAAGGGTGTAAAAGTAAGTGAAAGAAAGTTTGCAAAATGGTGAAATAATAAAAATAAAATAAAAATGCGAATAAAAAGAAAAGAGCATTGGAAACTCCTTCTTGAGAGTTGTTGAAGTCCATTAGGAATGCGGGTGGGGACGAAATTTCGACAACCGTCCAATTCCAGCTGGTGACCAACAAGTTATTATTTAACCATTACCATTTCAGGTTTTCTATCGTTTTATTTATTTGCTATTTCTTTACTGCTACTTGTACCCGTGCTTTCACCGCCAATACCAGATTAACTGTTTAATTCAGCACAGTTGCTTTTCAGACAAGTGGCAGTTGCACGAAACCATAAGGAATCTTAGGGATGGAATGGCATTTCAAACCCTTGAAAAGCTAATTTAGGCATTAAAAAAAGATTAGTGCTACTATTAATCGTTTTCTAATGAGTTCTCACAGACCCTTGCTTTTTTTTTTTTTTTAATTTATTTAATTTTAATCTTTAAATACTGACATAATTGATTTTTCCCGTAAAAGATTTTTTTTCCTTTTTTTTTTTTAATATTCAAACAAGAGTACTACTAGTAGAATAACCCATCAATTCAGCCTCTGCCCCACCCTTATTATTATATATTAAAGGCTAGATCAGAAGTCAGAGAACTTTTGTTTGATTTCTCCAAAGAGGAAGTTGTTTTGGTTCTTTTTCACCTTTATTCTAATAATAAATTTTAATATTTGTCAGTTATTTTGTCATATTCCATCATAAAAAATAATAAATTAAAATTAATACTAGTACTACCAATCCAATAGTCATAAAAATATTTTCAAGGATTGATTCTGTTCCTTACTTTTTTATTTATTATTTTTAATATATAAAATATATTCCAAAATCGAGTTTACTATTTTTTAATCCATTCAATATTATCATTCACATTATAAGATCAACTCATAAATTATGAAAATCACGTATATAAATGTTGATGTTATATGTATTATTAACAAATTTTTAATTCAATCGATTAAAATTATTTTTTTTAATAAAAAAATATTAAGTTTAAGTTTTGATGATGATTATTTATAGGAATAATCTCGAATATAAGATCTGTAATTATTTATTTTATTTTATTAGATACAATATATCTTTTTTTTATTGAAAGACTGAACAGATTTATCAAAATTTTTTTTTTTAAATGTATGTATTAAAACATAATTGAAAAAAATAATGGAAGAAAGGCGAATCGGATTTCTAGGCAGATCATGTATAATTATTGCTTGCCATATTGAAGCTCTTCACTGGACCTGAATAGAAAAAGTTGGTTCAAATTTTTTTTCTTTGGTAATAAAAAGAGGGCACCTTGTTCTTTTCATCGCATCAATTCCTTATTAAATACTAAAAAAAAATCATCACGGCTTATTTTATATAAAATGACCAACTTTTTTTCATTAAAACTTTTAAAGTTAAAATACTAAAAAAATTCTTTAAATTATTTCATTTTTAAATAAATTTTTATATTTTAATTGTACTTAAATAAAATTTTGCTCCTTAATTTATATCTAAATGAAAATTAATTTAAATATAAACTAAAATTTAAGACTTATTTATATACAAATTAAAAAATAAGAGTTTGTTTAGAAACAAATTAAACTTTGAAGATTTATTTGAGGATAATAAAAATATAAGAATTTTTCCAAAAAAAATGATAAAATTCAGGGACTTGTTTGTTATTTTTACCAACTTTTAAAAACAAAAGCATCCCCGTGCGCACAGCAGCTTCAGGAATGGTGCTAAAGCCGAGGCTGTAGCACAAAGTAACTATCAAGGTTTAGACTTTAATTGGCGCTACTGATCATTGCTTTGAAGAATCGTGAAACACATAGCAAAAGACAACATCCCATAAAACCTAAGTTTAAAAAAAACAAAAATTAATGCCTCAACACCTACTAGCTAGCTAGCAGCTTGGACCACAAAACCAGCCTTAATTGCAAGCCACCCATGTGGGCGATGACACTAATAGCAGTTTCTGATATATTTAATAACTGTTGGAACTCAGGAATCCAATCTCAAGTTGCAAAGATGACATGCAAATCATATTCGCCAGAAACAGGAACATTAAGCTTGACAGACCATTATTATCTATCACTTAATTCAATTGTCTTGAATCAGTTTCCTTTATTTCTTGGATTTTGTAGATCTGGTGCAATTCTAGATTTCTCGTTCCATTCTTTGCAAAAATGATAGACTCCAGTCATGTTAATGTAACAGTTACAGGGATGGGGTTTTTTTTTTCCATTTTCTTTCATCTGCCTACAACTACTGTTCCAGCTGCCAACCCAACCTTCTTGTGGATAGTAGAGATTTGGATGATCTTCATTGCTTATCTTGTTTGTGAAAGAGACTTGGAAGGAAAGAAACAATGGTCTACTTTCAACTTGCAGATAGAAAAAGATGCAAATGGCATTGATAAAAGGATTCCCATGACAATTGCGCGTGATCATAAGTAAATCTTTTATAAAGAATTAATGCTACCTGACAACGGAAAACCGGATCAGAGAAATTAGACTTTCAATGAAAACTTGGGTGAAAAGCACAATTATGCAGCTAGAAAACTCCACATTTTTTCTATTATCTTTATTTAAATTCAAGGTCTCTGACTTTTCTCTAGAAAAAAAAAATAGAAAACTATCAACATTGTTATAAATGTATTTATTTGATGAAGCAGTTGCAGAATAACTATCGGAAAAATACCACCCTTCAAACTTGAGTTATACTTTAGAATATTCCATCTACTAAAACTGTTTGCCTATTTGATCACCAGGTTTCCCCTTTGTGTTAGTATAGTTGAGCAAGCCCATGTCACTGAAAATGACACCATCCAATCCCATGCTTTGCTTTAGCACAAAAAGAAAAGAACATTAAAGTTATTTTATCTCTTCCAAATGCTAACCCTATTAAAGACATGAAATGCAAAAGGAACATGACAGTACTCCATATATGCTTACCCTGTTTAAAGCCATGATAATGCAAAACACACAATCCTATATAACATAGACTCCGTTTTATGTTCCAATTGGTAGAATAGAAACATTTCTATTTTTAATTAAAATATAAAAGAAAATTAATGAGACTTTCTCTGATCATTTATACGTACCTTTTGCCAACAGCCGTATGGTCTATTATTGATGGAATACTAAATTTTTAATTTTGATTATCAAATTTAAATCCTAACAATCTTAAATATAAAAAAATTATACATACCTTTTTTTTTATATATATATATAAAGAAGTATTTACAATGAGAAGTGTGATTACCAATACTTAAATTGTAGTTTGAGGATCTTATTCTTAAGTTTTCCGTGATCTAATATTCTCCGGACGATCTTTAATGCACATGATCTTTTAATAATAGTATCACTGGCCGACAATGTTATGAAATTTGATGAAATTAACATGTTCATAGCTGAACTGCTGATCAAATCATCACGCCAAAGGCAACCAGCAATAGTTAAAGCACTGTTATGGATGAGTCCCCAGAGTTTCCATATATATTTTTTCTTCGACATCCTTTGGAAATAATATTCAAAAATTTAAAATTCAAATCTTTATATTTATGATCCATTTTCTATCCTCAAACTATGACATTTTTTTGTTAAAAAATGAAACATCTTGCCATAAAAAATAAAGCAAGGAGAAAAGATATGAATGTAGGGAAATCCATCTGATTTTACCAGGATCCTTCCTTGTGTTTACGTACTAGAAGCTTTTTATTTTTTATTTTTATTTTTTTTAACTCGTAGTTTGGTGATTTTAGTTGTAGTAATTCCTAGGGCAGGTTCTTGATAATGACCATTGATCAGGACCGGCATAAATGCATGCCAAAACACATTGATTTCTCTTCATACTTGTAGTTTCATAGCTAGGTAATTACTAATTAGTAGACTTTCCACTTGGATCAAATCGATGATTAATGTCAAACAAGTGGTGTATTTAATCAAGTTCTAATGCAACACAAAACAAAAATATATCGACTTAGCATTTAATTATATCCTCGATCCCAATAAAAAAATAAAAAAATAAGCTTGAATGTAACATAAAACAACAGTCGTATCCTTGGGAACATTAACGTGCAATGACAAAAGGACTATAGTAGCTGGCTAGTATAATTAATTATTTAAATGAAAATATTGAAAAAAATTAAATCAATTAATTTATATAATTATTTTTAAAAAATTTATCTAGATCTAATATTTAAATTTTAATATTTTTAATTTTTTTGTTTTCAAATTACAATTTAAAAAAAAAAGCTTTAAAATCAAAATGGGTTGCTAAAAATATGAACATTCACCTCAATTATTGCCATAGGAGAGTAAAGTTTTGTTAGTGTTTACTACGAATATATGAAACGTTCATGGTGGGTTGGTGATTTTATGGGATGACAAATTCGGGTCCCTCCAAGATTGTGACAACACAAAAGAAAGTGCAAAGATCCATGCCTAAAAGTAAAACCATAATCTATAGCTAACAAAATGTTTACGGTGAAATAAAAAAGTGCTGTGTGAAAGAGAGTACACATAGACAGAGGGATTGGTTTCGGGCTTTGGTTGGTGTTTGTGTCAAGCTCTGATCCCGAGACATTTTTGGAAGGACAAAGGAAAATAGCGGTTAGAGGTAAATGTAGGGTGTTTTCATTGCATTTGTATTGTGACATATAAGTCAAGAAGATTTAGGCCAGAAAAAAATTAAGAATGAAAAAAAAAGAATTAAATGAATGTCTCAACGGTGTTTAGATTTTCATGTTTATAAAAAAGTTGTAGAGAATCAGCAAGGGATAATAAAAACAATTCTAAGTTGATGTGGCATTAAATTATTAGATCGATCTGATATGTCAATTGATACAAATGATAAAAATATTTTTAATTATCTGTTGAAAGCTTTTAAAAAAAAGTCACTAGACCTTTTTTATTATCAAATACCCTTAACACTTATTTTCCCACCAAACAATCTGAATATTAGATTGTTGAATGTATGTTTGACGCTTTTAGTGTAGAGCAGATTAGCAAAAAG